ATTGTGGGTCTCGTCTTCATCGTGTCTCCTGTGGTGCTTTCTCCTCCCTGGTTTGGGAGGAAGTGTTCTTTGTCTTTTTGGGTAGTTAACTTCTGGGAGCCACAAGGAATTCTCCCCGAAAACCAGTGTTGAATGTAATGGAACGCCAATTTCTGGGTGAGCCCCGGTGACTCCCTGATTTCCTCCCTCACTTCCTGGTCGTCGGGTGATTGCCTGCATTTACTTCAGAATGGGGAGCTGGGATGCTGGCTGGTAGTGAGCTACCTTACCTTCCCTACTTAACCCAAAATGAGTGGGTGAGGTGAAAAAATGAGCTCATGTTAGTTCCGAGAGAATTTGATCACTTGTTTACATAGTTGGGGAGTTCTTTAGGCAGGTTTTGAGGCATCAGTCTCTTTTTGAAGCCACCAGTGGTTTGTTTTGACTTGCCGACTTTCTGGTTGCATTCTGCAGTGAGGTGGCAAAAATAAATGTTACTGCTCTCTGCACCTTTGTCCCCAGTAGACCTGTAAAACTTGATGCTGATGACACCTAGTAGATGGTACCATTTCAGTGTATAGTAGCTTTAGGGAGCCACCTTGCTTACCCAGAAATCGGCATTTCATTAATTTCATACATTCAGTACTGATTTTTGTACAAATATAATTTGGAAAAAAAAAATCTGATTTCTAGGTGCCCTCCCTCAATGACTTCCCATAGGTTATGCAAGAGTCTTCCAGGGCCAATGTCATCTCATGCATCTCAGACTATTCATTTGTCTGATAGAGATGGGTACCAGAACCCTACCTCCTTTCAGAGGCGAGAGCTAAGTGTATCGTCAGACATTACACAACCCCAAAAAATCCTAACTAAAAGGTTGTAACAAGTTGTAAATACAGTATTCACTCATATTGGTAGCTCACAACCGAGGATTTTTGGATATGATCCCTGGGCAAGATGGACACTCGGCATGTTTCTTTTCACCTGTTGCCTCTCTTCACCTAGTAGTAAATATGCACCTGGGAATTGGATAATTATTGTTAATTACATCCTGGGGAAGGACAGTTGTTAGGTAAGGGAGACACCAATAAGCCTTAGTACAAACTTCCTATCCCCAACAACATAAAACCAAAACTGTTCACAAGGACCAAACAAAACAAAATAATAATAATAATAATAATAATAATAATAATAATAATAATAATCCTGCTGCTTGTCAGCAGTACTAGACTACCAGGATTCTGGTGCCTCCCTAACCCATCACTTTTGCCTTGTGCTCTGCCATCTGACTGAATTTAAACTAGTTGAGTGTTATTGTGTGTTCTGTAGTATGGCCTGGCAGGGTATCTGTTTTTTGTCAGTACTGTGTCTATCACAATCTTTGCCTTGTTGCATTTTTTACACTTTGATATTGCAGGGTATTTGGTAATGTTGCCACCTGGTTATATTCTAGTGTTATCCTATCCTTAATTGGGTAAGTATTGATTGCTATTTTTGCATAATTTTACCTTTTGTTTCATCTCTGCTGGAATTTTGGAAATTGCTGACACAGAATTAGCTTGTGCCATTTGTGGGTTTGCTGGGTGACTTAAGATGTTTTTGATGGTTGGATATCTCTGGTTTTTCACTCTTGGGTGTGAAGCGAGTTTATTGCTGGTTTTTGGCTCCGACTGAGTCTTCATCCTGTATCGGCTTTTCAGGTGGTGAATCATTTTAGTTTCCTCTTTTGCGGCCGACTTCTTTGTCTCGGATGGTTGCTTGTATGGTATTCTTTTCAGAAGTGGTGACTGATGTTTGTTCCCTACTGTGATAAGTGTTGGGGTGTTGTTTTTACTCTCCCCTTTTCTGTAAATAATAAATTAATGAGGACATTTGTTTATTATTTCGAGCTTTGTGGTTAGTCTGTTTGACAGACTGTAGCTTTAGGTGAGAAAATTTTAGTTTTTACCCTCTAATGTTAGTTTATAGCTGTATTTCTAAATACTGTACTGTACTGTCCATTTAGTTGTGCCTGAACTAGGGTTTTGCAGTTTACATGTTTTGCAAAGTTAGTTGCAACTTACTGGTCTGCCTTCTGTGATGTTTTGAATCAATGCCTTTCATCATTTTCTTTTGTAATAGCTTTGTAGTAGAGGTACTGGGCACATGATTCCTTTTATCAGGCAGTTCGTTGTTTAGTTGGAGCCCCTGATTTTCGTGTGTCTTTGGGCTAGTTTCAAACTGGTTCTGGGTTATTTTGGAGCACCAAGACAGCAATTCCTTAGCACTCCTCACTGTCCTACAATCTGTTTTTGGGCACTTCTGTTTGGGACTATTGTTTAGTTTCCAGTTATTGCTTTGGTGTGGTGGTAAATGTGTAGTTCAGTGTAGGGGCTGAGTGGTAGTTTTGTTTGCTCTTCTGTACTCATTTCTTGAACAGCTTTTTTCTGCTTTCTTCTTAGGTCTGACTTTCTGTGTGTGTTGTTGCATAAGGGGGGAAATTAGGGTGAGTAACTCATTTCCTTATATTTATTATGGGGTGCCTTCACACCCCCAGGAAATTTGGTAATGAAACTATAGCTGGTGATGGTAATGGTAAGCATCAACTGTTTAAATAATAACTCTTGCAGTTTTTGCTTTGGTTGTTTTTATGCTGGATACTGATTGTATGTATTTTGGGTAAGTTTGAATGTATTTACTGTGCTCTGATGTGTTGAAAAACATAAATGCTGAATTAAAAAGTTTTCAAATTGGTATGCTTTAGGGTGAGTAATCACAATACAAGTTATGGCTAAATATAGCAAATATGAGTGGAATGAAAATTTAGTAATTACTTAGGCAGCATTTTCTTTGAGGGCAGGTGATAAACGATAATTGGTAAGTTGGTGGAATTTTATAATAAGTTTGCCGATGGAATTCAAATAAATGCTTTGTAGGTGTACTGTGTTTTTAGATTTTACACAAAATTTGACATTTTATTCATCTTTTATACATTTCCATTACATATCCTTGGTACCTTGCCATTATGGGTGTTGCCCCAAATGAATTTGCAGATGTAGCAGACAAAGAAGGTTTTCAGAAGAGTATCATTCTTCTAATATCCATTGCATGTTCAGTGTTTACTAAATGAATACTTATGTTCTATGTTAAAATTAATAAGATAAATGTCCAACAACTTCGAATAAAAAATGATAACATCAATAGTAATTTATCTACATGGCCATCCTTATATAACCAAAATTATGTACTGACCACAGAATAGTAGCTCTTTTACACTTGATGGAAAAGTAGCCTGCCCATTACTGTCTACTGACAATATTGCATTGTTGTATAATCAAGTTCTTTCTGCACCTTGTACTATAAGCCATTCATATAGTAGAATTCAACATTTTAAGATGATATAAGAATATGCTTTCCATTCATTCCTTAAATGCAGTGTCCCTAGCCAAAATCCTCACATCCATTTGCTTGGACTAGTTGGTACAGAGAAGGCATTGTCTTACAGGATAAGTACTCACCTAGTTGTGCTTGTGGGGGCTGAGCTCTGGCTCTTTGGTCTCGCCTCTTAACTGTCAGTCAACTTATGTACAGATTCTGATGCCTATTGAGCTCTATCAAATCTACATTTGAAGCTGTGTATGGAGTCTACCTCCACCACATCACTGCATAATGCATTCCATTTGTTAACTACTCTGACATTGGAAATTGTTTTTTCTGTCTGTGGCTCATTTGGGTACTAAGTTTCCACCTGTGTTTCTTTGTTCGTGTTCCACCCATGCTAAATAGTTTGTCATTGTCCACCCTGTCAATTCCACTGAAAATTTTGTAGGTGGTTATGTCTCCCCTTACGCTTCTGTTTTCTAGGGATGTGAGGTTTAGCTTCTGTAGCCTTTCCTCGTAGCTCTTACCTCTCAGTTCTGGAAGTAATCTGGTGGTATACCTCTAAATCTACTCAATCTACTCAAACTTTGTCTTCTGTTTAACTAGATATGAACTCCAGGCAGGAGCTGTACACTCCAGGATTGGTCTGACATATGTGGTATACAAGGTCCTGAATGATTCCTTACACAAGTTCTTAATGTCAGTTCTTATGTTGGCCAATCTAGCATATGCTGCTGCTGATATCCTTTTGATGTGGGCTTCTATGGACAGGTTCCCAGATAAGTGTTCAATCCCAGATGATCCAAGTGGTTGGGCACTTTCTTCACACCATCTTCATCCTGCTTGATACCTGCTTGATGGGAATTCTTCTACTCCCCAAGCCCGGCCTGAGGCCAGGCTTGACTTGGGAGAGTTTGGTCCACCAGGCTTTTGCTTAGAGCGGCCCACAGGCCCACATACCCACCACAGCCCGGTTGGTCCGGAACTTCTTTTAGAAAACAGTCTAGTTTTCTCTTGAAGATGTCCACGGTTGTTCCGGCAATGTTTCTTATAGTCGCTTGTAGGACATTGAACAACTGCGGACCTCTGATGTTTATACAGTGTTCTCTGATTGTGCCTATGGCACCTCTGCTCTTCACTGGTTCTATTCTGCATTTTCTTCCATATCGTTCACTCCAGTACGTTGTTATTTTACTGTGTAGATTAGGGACCTGGCCCTCCAGTATTTTCCACGTGTATATTATTTGGTATCTCTCTCGTCTCCTTTCTTGTGAGTACATTTGGAGAGCTTTGAGACGATCCCTATAATTTAGGTGCTTTATCGTGTCTATGCGTATCCTTGCTCATCCCCTTCCAAGTGCTATTTAATCAAAATAGTTTAGTGTTTTCTCCTGAAAATTTCTTTTTCTAAAATCTTCAATGACCTGGTCTCATTCAATACAGATGAACTTAAAGTATGTCTTTCTGCTCCTGTATAGACATCTTAAGTGATATAAGCCTATTGATAATTTTTATTAAATTACAAAATTGCATAGTGCTATATAGCCATTCTGGCTTAGTATATTTCTGTTGATAATTATTTTATTGCCATTGCACTTAAATAAGCAAGTAGTATTTAGTATATATGCTACATTGACTCATAAATATTCTTAACCCAATAGGAGGTGGTGAAGCTAGAGTTGTTGTGCAAGCAGCTTCACGAGGCTAACGATGGCGTTCAGCGGCAAGAAGCAGAAAAGGCATTGGTGGAATTTCAGTCTGGGCGTGGAGCTGCTACTCTCAGTCAGTGTCAGCTGCTCCTAGATCGAGCTCAGTCATCTTACTCTCAATATTTGGCAGCTACAACACTAACCAAGCTTGTCTCAAGAAACCCGTGTACATTGTCACTGCAGCAGAGGATTGATATCCGTAAGCTTTTTTCTTGTTGCCATGATTTTATTGTTTTGTTAATATGGATGTGTGAAGAGTTGTCTTAATAGGTCACTTTTTTTTATTAAGGTAAATGTTATAAAAACAGCAATGAAAGAAAATGGGTGAAGTAAGGAACAACTATGCCTCTTTAATGTGGTTGTCTTTGAAATTCAAGTTGAAAAGTGTAAACCATGTGATTGTTATTGCAAATGAGATGACAGAAGCTAAAATTCAAAAGTTCTTTCTGGGAGAGAGATCTCAGTAACTCCTTGATGCTAAGCAGTAGTCAAGCCATTTCTTGGGGAAATACACCAGGCATCTGAGACTCACTTATGTGTACCAGGTGCTAATACCAGAATCTAGTTCAACAAGGCAAGGGGGTGCTTGAGTATCATAGATGTACCCAAAACCATGAAAAATCCTTCTGGAATTCACAAATGCAACAAAACGAGCAACTTCTTGAATAAAATTATGGAACTGAAAATAGTGAAGCAAATGATCATTTCCTCAATGTAAGCACCAACTATATTTCTCCTGACCACCATCTACTGCATCATGTTTTAGCCGACTGGTATTGTCTATTCCTGGAGTGTTTTTTCTGCTGGGGGCCATTAGTTATTTTCACAGTTTACAATTATGTTTTATGCCACCCACATTGCATGTGCCTTGGTTTAATATTTAACGCTGCTTTATGCCGTTGTTCCCTTCCACAGTGATTGTCTTGCATTTTCTCTGCCCCATACCATATAAACTTGCTCTGAAGGGTTTAGGTTTCTCCTCTGAGTTGACTCCTCTTTAATGTCACCGTGCTTCTTGATAGTGCATGAGATTTGTTCTTCACTGTGGGGTAGAGCTTTCTTACAAAGTTGGCTGTGCTCTGTTTGTGCATTTATAAACGGTTTGATACCTTGTCCTTCTCCTTAGGCACGTAATGGTTTTTATGCTTTCGCCGAGACTGCTCTGGGGCTGCATAAGTGATTGTTCTTATCTGGAGCTGCTTCTGCAGTTCCCAGTTAATTGATTAAGGTCAAGGTTAAGCATTTATTCAGCCTAATCACTTTCCCCATGGGTAGCGTGCCGACTTGTCTGCATGACAGTCTGGCTATCTAGTAGCCCCAAGTCCCTTCTTTTATATTTTATATAGGATGTCACTCAATTGTGACCACTGATGTTCATTTCCTTGGCCTTCATTATTTAGCCTGTCAGGTCTGGGGTTGCTGGATGTGACTACAGAGGTCGCTCTCTGTTGGGTTTTAATCGAGGCAGTGAAGCCTACTTTCCTTTCCTCTACCCCCATGTACACTTGGGACATGACTGATGGAGTTATTGTCTAGTCTTGTGCACTGTTGATTCCATGGTTTCCTAGGGCTCATATAGTTTTCTTCATACACCAATGTATGTTATTTGATATTTGTTTTTTCCCAGTTTTGGAGGCTTCCCAAGTGGTAGTCTTGCCTCTTCCTTCTTGGCCCTAGGACTTTGGGATGTATGTAGTCTTCATTCCTGGTCCCTCCGCTTCTGTGGCAGGGACCTTTCCTATGGTTTTGGAGTTTTCCAGAGGAGGGTCCTTGGCTCTTTCTGCACTGGCCCTCGGTGGTTCCCCAGTGTGGTGGGTCTGATATTAGAGACACTGATGCAAAAATATCAGGCCTCTGGGCTTGCTCAGGCCTGCTGAAGGCCAGGACTGAGCAAGTGTGCAAAACCTTTTGGAGTCCTTCCTTTGGCTCTGTTCAGACTCTTTTTCCCCGTGGTTCATTGTTTCCACTGGGGGGTTCTTTCTTTGGAGTGGGTCACTTTATATAGCTCTACTGCAGGGTTCATGGGGCTTGGTTCTGATGGGCTTGGCTCTCTGTTGTTCACATCCTGTTTGTGTCCAATGTCCTTGCAGATGGCTGTCTTGGCTCTGTCCCATTTCACTTAGTGGACAGTCAATGCCGCCTCCTTCCTGTGGCTTTGAGACATTTGGGTACCCGGACATGGACCTCTTTGCATCGGTGTGGACTCGTCGCCTTCCTCTGTATGTACGTGGGTTTCCTGTGCCTCTTGACCCTGGTCTAGCTGTTGCTTTGGGTCCTGGCCAGGGGGCCGGTCGGCCGAGCGGACAGCACACTGGACTTGTGATCCTGTGGTCCCGGGTTCGATCCCGGGCACCAGCGAGAAACAATGGACAGAGTTTCTTTCACCTTATGCACCTGTTACCTAGCAGTAAAATAAGTACCTGGGTGTTAGCTGTCACAGGCTGCTTCCTGGGGGTGGAGGCCTGGCCGAAGACCGGACCGCGGGGACACTAAAGCCCCGAAATCATCTCAAGATAACCTCAAGATGAGCAGGTTTAGGGTAATCCTATCCTAGTCCTATCAGAGGAAGGTAATCCTTCTGGCTCCCTGGTGGCCAGCTCGGCCTTGGTTTCAGAAGCTGCTTGCTTTGTGTCCGAACCTGGTGTTTTTCTGTGACTCGACCTCTATCGGAAGATCGGCCCAGTGACTTACTTCAGAGGTTCAACCTTCTCCTCTACATTTAAAGTCTGGTATTTTTGGCACATGCTTATCTCCATCTTTACAGCAAGCAAGTAGCTTCTTTGGTGGTGTCCTCACCTGTGTTCCTCTTCTTGGGAACAGTTTTGTGATGCACCTTTCACCATTTCCTTTTCCCATTTGTTGTTTTTCTCCAGTTTCTTGGCTTTTTCTTGATTGGCATCTCATGTCGATTACTGTCACCTTGTACCGTATTGTAATTACAGTACTTAGTACCTACAGTACACTCATGGTGTCCTGTCTTCCCAGTACTCTTTGTCGTATAACGCTTTGAAACTACTGTACTGACGGTTTTGGCCTCCTCCGCCTTCTCACTTATCTTGTTCTAACCATCTACCACTCTGTTTGCAAAAGAAAATTTTCCAATATTTTTCTGCACTTTTGTTTCCTTAACTTGAATTTGTGTCCTCTTGTTTGTGATGTTGCTGGTTTCAGGAATTCCTCTTTGTCAATTTGGTCGATTCTTGTTAGTATTTTGTAAATGGTGATCATATCACCTCTTTTTCTTCTATCTTCTGCATTTGGCATGTTTAACGTCTCTAGTCTCTCCTCGTAACTCTTGTTTTTCAGTTCTGAAAGTCATTTTGTAGCATGCCGTTACACCTTTTCCAGTTTCTTTGTGCTTCTTGAGATTTGGGCACCATACAACTGCTGCATATTCCAATTTTGGTCTCACAAAAGTCATGAACAGATTCTTTAGTATTTCACCATCCATATACAGTAATTAAAAGCAAATCTGAAGTCGGAAAGAGACGCATACACTTCTCTCACAATGTTCTGTGTGTGTTCTTCTGGCGACAGTTTACTATCCAAAACCACCCCAAAGTCTCGTTCTTTATTAGAGTTCCATAATTCCTATCCACATAATTTGTAAGTTGTGTGTCATCAATTTTCTCCAATTCCTCATTCCATAACATGGCATTTATTCACATTGAATTCCGTTTGCCACTTGACACTCCAAGCACTTATTTTATCTAGATTGATTTGAAGGGCATTACAGTCTCTTATCTTCCCCAGTATTTTAGCATCATCCACAAACATGTTCATATAATTCTGTATTCTTTCTGGTAGATCATTTATGTAGACGATAAACATTACTGGTGCAAGAACTGAACCCTGTGGTACTCCACTAGTAACACATGCCAGTCAGATACATTATCTCTGATTACTGCCTTCATCTGTCTGTCAGTTAGAAAATTTTTCATCCATGTCAGAATTCTCCCTGTCACCCCTCCAGCATTTTCCAGTTTCCAGAATAGCCTCCTGTGTGGGACTGTCAAAAGCCTTGTTTAGGTCCAGATAGACACAACCCAACCACCTCCTCTTTACACAGGATCTTCCTGTTCGAAAACCATACTGTCTGTCTGCTATTATGTCATTACTCTTAGGTGTTCAACCCATTTGTCTTTAACTATTGTTTCTAGTGTTTTGACTATCACACTTGTTAAAACCCTTGACTATCATGCTTGTTATTGTGCGGCGCTGGCGGAGCCACTGCTGCTTGCGTTCAAGGTTAATACTGCCTCAGCTCCATTTCACAAGCTGTCTCATGCCTTGTTTCAGATTTGGTCTGCCTATGTGCCGCTGGAGTCTGTTTGGTCTCTGGACTGTGTTCTTGCATTTTCTTTCTCTTGGTTTACTATGTCCCCCCTTTATTCCATGATTGCTTCTTTAAATCTTTTGTTTTTGGTTTCTCTTACTTCTGATTGTTGGATTGGGGAGCTTCTCGCTCTTCTCCGGAGGCGAGGTTTTTTGTTTTTTTGACTAGTGGGTGTATTGTTCATTTGCTGTCAGGTTCTTTTCTGGTGAAGAACGAGTTGGCTGGCTTCCAGAGGAGTCCTTTGGTTGTTGACGCTTAGTTGGTTTAGCTTGGGATGTGTCCAGTGGTGACTTTCTGCCTTTGATTCTATTTTGGTAGATGCCTTGTGAAGTGTCTCTTCATCTTAATTCCTGCCGTGCTTCCTTCTTCCTGGCGAGTTCCTGTGTGTTTTCCTCCTCAGTGGGTAGTTAGCTTCAGGGAGCCACATCCCCCAGAAAACCAGCGCTCATTATAATGAAGTGCCAATTTCTGGGTTAGTCCCACTTGCTCCCTGATCCCCTCCCTCTCTCCCAGGTCATTGGGTGGATGCCTACAACTGCCCTAGAACTGAGAGGGGAGATGGTGGACTTCCCCCACTCTGGTGGGCTTTCAAAACTCCAGAACCTGAATATGTGCCCAGGGCATGTTCAAAACTGCAGACAGGGCCTCAAACCAATGAACATCATGGATCCAAGATTAGAACACTAGTCAGCTAAATTTGATTATATTGTGGTCTATTGGAGAAAAAATGGGCTCTGGGACAAGTGACCAGGGATACTGGGTCCACAAGTAGAGTAAGTCCCCACACACCACTTGGAGTGGGAAGGTTACGGTGAATAGCAGCACTACCTAACCGGACAGTCAGTGGATTTGTACTTAGCATAAATCTCACTTCCTGGTCAAAGAACCTAGGATCCACAAATCTAGTAGAAATTAAAGAGAAGAATCACCATTGCTACAAAGCACTTGCTGACCAGACAGAGAAGATAGCTCTGGTTACAGGTTGGTTAATGCCCCGAGACGCACAAAGGGCTTGTATACACATTCAAGAAGAATTCACTAATGTAGTTTAAGTCCACTGCACAAACTATGTGCACAAACCAACCATAGAAGCTATTAGTCATAGCTTGGTCATTTTCTTCACCATTTGTGAGTTTTCCTTATGAAGTGATAATGAGTTTATGTAATGAACCTTTATATCTGTATTCTGTACTGGAGTGAGTGTTTTGCAGCACTTCACTATCACCATTATAGCTCGGTGCAGTTTGAAAAGTTCCTTGCTGTACGTGGGCGCCTGACAGCTGTGAGTGGACAGCGCTTCGGATTCGTAGTCCTAAGGTTCCGGGTTTGATTCCCGGTGGAGGCAGAAACAAATGGGCAGTTTCTTTCACCCTGATGCTCCTGTTACCTAGCAGTAAATAGGTACCTGGGAGTTAGGCAGCTGCTACGGGCTGCTTCCTGGGGATGTGTAACAAATAGGAGGCCTGGTTGAGGACCGGGCTGTGGGGATGCTAAGCCCTGGAATCATCTCAAGATAACCACAAGATAACCATGTGTGTGTGGGATTCAACCAGCCTTGGCTGCAGCAAATCATTATCAAAAGTGAGCATGATCTTGCCTTAAGGAGCAACTGAGATGGGATAAGTCAAAGATATTGTTATTTAAGTATTTTTAAGCAGGGAAGTATTTTTGACAATTTTAGCCATTGGTATCTAGTATTATGGTCCAAAGAATAAATATCAATCAATCATGTTAAAATTACAGGTATGCAAATGCAATGGCAAAGAATCAGATGTTATAATTACTTTAAAGATTATAGAAGTCATATATTCCTCTTTGATTTTATAATAAGGAAATCTTGATTGATAGCAATTGATATCATGTTGTGTGGCAATGTATTTTTTATGAAGTGCTCAAGAAGTGAATTTAAATTACAATTTATTTTTTTCAGGAAATTACGTTTTAAATTACCTGGCAACTCGTCCTAAACTTGTTCACTATGTGACTCAAGGCTTGGTGGTGTTGTTTGGACGCATCACTAAACTTGGCTGGTTTGATGGCCTAGACAAGGAAAAATGGGCATTCAGAAATGTTGTAGGGGATGTATCTCAGTTTCTTCAGGTAAGCATGATTTTATATATATATTTTTTTTACATCTGTTGAATAACATTTACAAGTAAAGAAACTGCAAAACTTTTAATTTTTGAAAAGTAGTAGTTTCTTACAATTACTTAAATAGTATATGATTTTAACTTATGATATGTTGCTTGATTATTAACATTTCATCACCACTGAATTTCATGTTTTCATGGGTTGGGAAGGCATCAGCCAAATGAAAATAGAGCATTAAGTGTAATGAAATGGCCATTTTTGGACAGGAATTAGTTGGCATTCCTTGATTTGATCACTGGCATGGTGAGGGTTCAGTGCATATGCCAGTCCATGGATAAAGACATTTCTAATAATTTCTTATCCCCTTTATATTGGGTGGACATCATATGGGGGTCATCCCTTCAGGTGAGTCGTCTGCTGAGTTCTCGGGGTCTGGCTTTCCTGGCCGTTCACGTTCGGGGGTTGTCCAAAGTCCTGGTGGATGACCTGTCCTGGTTCATTCCCCTGTCTGTCCACGGAATGGATGGTCAACGCCAACTCATTCAGTTGGCTTTGCTGGACGTACGGGTTCCCGGAAGTGGACCTCTTCGCGTCGGTGTGGTCGTGATGTCTCCCGGTATATGTGGCGCCCTTCCGTGACTATAACCGTCGGGGTCAATGCCTTCAGGCAGGACTGGTCGAAGTGGGGTTACCTGTACCTCTTTGCCCCCCGGTTCCTCTGTTGCTCCAGGTCTTGGCTCGCTTGGAGACTTTCAAAGGGAAAGTAGTCCCCTGTTGGCCCCTTGGTGGCTGCTTGGTAACCCAGCCTTGGTTTCAGGTGCTGCATGCTCGGTGTCCGATCCCAGGGGTCTTTCCGTGGCTCCATCTCTTTCAGCAGATCGGGCCAGTCCATTACGTAGCTGGTTCGATCTTCTCTAGTCTTCGCGTCTGGTCTTTCTGTTGTGGGTGTATCAAAACTTGTATGGTGACCAGGTGGCTTCATTGATGGTTTCCCACCTGTGTGCTTTGTCTCGGCGGCAGTATGAAATTTCCTGGTGGTCCTTTCGTTATTTCTTGTCCCTCCATATGTTTTCTTCTGTTTTGGTTCGGATTGTCTTGTTCTTCCTTTCTTGGTAGTTTCAAGACTGTCATATTATGCCGATTACTGTCGCCTTGTATTGTGCAGCGCTGGTGGAACAGCTTCAGCTTGTGTTCGGGATGGATGCTACTTTGGCTCTGCTCCGCAAGCTGTCTCCTGCATTGTTTCACCTCTGGCCTGCTAATGCGCCGCCTGAGCCGTTCTGGTCGTTGAATTGTGTGCTCTCTCTTCTCTCTCCTCGGTTTGTTGTGGCTCCTTTGGTTCAAGATTGTTTTGCAAAGGCTCTTTTTCCTGTTGGCATTGGCCTCTGGGGGTTGGGTTGGGGAGCTTCATGCTCTCCTCCGGAGGAGAGGTTTCTGCTCCTTTAGTCCTGGTGATAGGTTTGTTTGTTTCCAACTGTCTCCTTCTTTTATGGCAAAGAATGAGACTGCTGCTTTCCTGAGGGTTTCTTGGGTTGTTGATGCTTGGTTGGTTCAGCCAGGGATGCATCATGTGTTGTCTAGTTGCGGCTCTTCGTGTTACTTGTGAAGTAGCTCCCCCCCCTTCCCCTCTCCTGGGGAGGGGGGAGCTGTGCAGACATGTGGCGCGGCATGTTTGATGTCATGCTCGTTTGCTCGTTTTCAATTGGGGAGTTCTGTCCACTTAGTCTTCTTTAGTCGTTTTAATCAGAATAGGGGGTTTGTTTTGATGCACTTACCTTTCTGGGTGCTTGGCCTGGCACAGGTCAGGCACCTAGTGGCTGACATAGAATGCTCCAAATCCCATGTGCATTTTTATAGGTCATTGCTTCTTGTGCCTCTCTGAGGGGGCCAGGTTCTGGCTTGTGGTCCCCAGTGGGCCTAGAACTCCATTCACACTGACTGATGCTAAAGTCTAATGATAAAACATATCAGCCTGGATAACTCCGGGGAGCCTCCGAATCTCGCCCTGAAAATGGCGTTTCATTACATTTAACGCTGTTTTTTTTTAATTCTCTGTTGTGGGATAGCAGCAAGAAGCCATCAAGCAATCCCTCCCAAAAACTAGTGTTGAACATGCCAAAATGTCTCTCTAGTGGTTCCTCAATAGCTCCGAGGGCCCTCCCTTTGTCTTATCAAAGGCATTAGTTTGTTGCTTTTCGTTGTCTCAGGACTGATGGTCTGCGATGGCTGGTCCAGGAGCTCCTTGAGCTGCCACCTAGTGGTGCGCACTTGCTACTAGTGGTGAACGCCCTAACTTCTGAATGCCTCATTTTCAGAATTGTTTAAATTTGCCTGTTTTTTTTGTTTCACTCTATCACTCTAGTGGCTTATATCTCAGTTAAGGTGATCAGGAATCCCATTGTCTGTCTTTTTGAGGGGTCCTGGTAAGCTTTTAGTGACTCGGAAGGGCCTGGTGGGACTTGAAATGTGTGGAGCGTACCCAGATGGCTAGCAACAACAGTGAGCCACCAAGGACTTGCCAGAAAGAGATGTTTCATTACATTCAATGCTGGCTTTTTGTGGCTTCATTTTATACTGCATATTGGTGCAGGCACTATAGATTAATTTTGGTACTGATTTATGATCTTATACAGTAATTATGTTTTGTTTTTATATTAATAAAATAAATTATGATTACTGAAGTATATTATCTCTGACTTTAGTGTTAAACCAAATTTTTTTTTATTTTAATTGTCATTTATTCGCTTTGATTTTTTAAAGAAAAATTAATATGCATGTTGAACAGTAATTATACAGAAACATTTTGTTGTTGCAACGGTGTGCCATGCAATATAACTTTATAAATAAATAAGTTGCAGTTCTCTAATTTCTTAAATCAGTGATAGAGAATTATAAGTTTATAACATTGCAAATAACTTTTCTTTACCGTAAATATCACAATCTGTTTACCATTTCAGGGTTCAGTGGAGCACTGTGTTATTGGAGTGCAACTACTTGCCCAGCTCACTGCAGAGATGAACCAGATCTCTGAATCAGATGCAAATAAATCCCTCACTAAACACCGCAAAATAGCAAGTTCATTTAGAGATACCCAGCTCTACGATATCTTCCAGCTCTCCTGCACACTTCTTAGAACAGCCTTAGAAAATTCAAAGACACTTAACTTCAACGATGAAAGCCAGCACGGATTAATGACGCATCTTCTTCGGTTAGGTAAGAGTATCTCAAATAGTAGACAGGCTGAATGCAAATTCTAAATTGCAAGGGAACATTCTAGGGCTATTTTTTCATTGCAGCACAAATTAATATCTCTAAAAACATTTTCCTCTTGGTGAATGTTTATCCAAGATAATTTTTGTTTTGGTGAATGTTAGTTTTCAATATAAATATTCTTTTATTGGTTTCTCTTTTTAATGATCTACATCCTGAAGATGTGTTCATATACCTCTTTGCTAACAAGTGAAGAGTCCTTCACTTATTGGCAGGAAAAGAAGCATGGAAAAAAACGATGGTTTTCTACCCCTGAAAACTTTTGTGGAAATTAGGTACTCTTGATTTTTTTATTTCTCTCTTGATTCTCTCTCAAAACTCTTGATTTCTACCCCTAAAACTCTTGTGGGAATTATGTATCAAAATTGTATAGCTGGACAGATATTTGTATGTACAGCTGAATGATCTCAAAATATTTGTTCCTTTTTTGGGGTGACTCCTTTATTGGCTCTCCAGAGCTTATGCACTGATGACTCAGGCTTGCTTGATACCTGCTTGATTCCTGCTTGATGGGGTTCTGGGAGTTCTTCAACTTCCCAATATCATCTCTAAGAGAGAGATCATCTCTCCAGGTGATAAGGTATCTCATACCTTACTGTTGACAGGGACTAGAATCCTATCCTCCTCATAAAGATGAGTGAGCTGAGGTTGTCATAGACACTACACACTGATGGGGGGGGGGAACCCTGCTCCTCCCCACTTTCAACCCCAAAAAAGACTGAAATACTTACAGAAAATGGTTGAGATGGATGAATACCAAACAAAACTCAAAACTATTCACAAAATTTGAAAAAAATAAGCTGTTCTGAAGGAAGCCCCCCTTCCCCCCAGTGGATCCCTGAAGCTACTTGCTGAGGCTGCTCCATACGAAAGTGTAACAGTATTGCGGAAATTCTGTTTGGTCTACTAAAACCAAAACCACAGACACCAGAGCCAAAACCTGGAGCCAGATTCACAAAGCAGTTATGCAAGCACTTTTGAACCTGTCCATCTTTTCTCAAACTTTGATGGCTTTGTTTACAATTATTAAACAGTTAATGAGCTCCGAAGCACCAGGAGGCTGTTTATAACAATAAAAACAGTTGATTGGAAAGTTTTCATGCTTGTAAACTGTTTAATAAATGAAACCAAAGCAGTCAAAGATTGTGGAAAGATGTACACGTTCATAAGTACTTGCGTAATTGCTTAGTGAATCTGGCCCCTGGTGCCCTCAGTGATGCAGGGAGCCATGACAAACTGGCACCCATTGGAAAAAGTCTCCAGAAAGTTGGCAAAGCTTTACAGACAACATTATCTTGATTAACCACTGGACTGCACCAATCGAGAAAACTTTTTTATTTTTTCGTACCCATTCAAAATGTTTGCGCGGTTGGTTGTGTACGAAATGGACTCTTAGGCTCTCCAGTGAGAGGCAGCCATCTTGGAAAAAATTCTCAGAATGCCCTAGGGATGCTGGCTGGGTTAGTACTGAGTGAGCAACCATGGATGGCGCTCGCACCTCTGGCTCCCAAACACCTGTCCGACGCGGTGTTGAAAGATCGTGCTCTGTCGGTGAAATTCAAACCTTATTGTTTGAAGAACACAAGGGTCATCATATGGGTGAAGCTAGGCGCAATAAGGACCTAACACAAAGGTCGGATGTAAGTGATAAAGCACCAATGAGGACGATTCAGCGAGCGTATCCAGTTGTAGCTCTGAGCGCCACCCTTGCCCACCTATGCCAATTTCCAATTTATATAGATGATACATAGATGAATTGTTTTCTGCGTTCAGTTATGATGCATCTGATTCAAGTAGCATCGATGAACAGTGTTAGCAGCTTCCATGGTGGGGTTTTCCATAGATATTTTCAACAATAGCTAAATCTCTTCCAGACTGACTGACACTCTTTGAGGCTGGCTGAATCTCTTTCCAGACTGCCTGAATCTCTTCCAGATTGACAGACTCTCTTTGAGGGTAGCTGAATCTCTTCCTGTGCGGGACCTTACAAAGCGATCTTTTCATGACTACCTTACAAATTGATCTTTTCCTATAATCTTTTCAATACTACCTTATGCTTTACAAGCTTGGCTACATACCACCTACAAGTACTAAAGCCAAGGGTGTAAGTGAGCGTGTTATTTGTAAGCACACAAAACGAAGAAACAGTAAGCGAAAATCTATCTGTACCTGGTGCAACGAGAGCAAAGTCGCGCTGTGCACCATCAACTACTTTGTTGATTATTACTCACTTCTGAAGTACTGAGTGTGTAATACAGTGTGTTACTGTGTAAATAGTGTGTGAAACTGTACATATTGTAATTTTAGTGAATTTTTAACAAGTAATATTGCGACAATAAACATTTATTGTGGACACATTACTGACACATGTATCACAGTTTCATGGAACATAATGAACGTTCTGCTGTATACATATTGTAAAGGACACAAATATGCATCATATACGATAAAAAACAAAACAAAACCGTATTGGAAATGCATAGAACAAATAATTGAAAATGTATTTGTGCCAACACGTGTTGCTTGAATGGCCGGTGTGACCATGTCTGGGAGCTTCACGCACAGGCAACCAGGCCCTGATGACGTCAGAGCGCACCTTGTCCATGTCCTCACAGCCAAAGTAAGTGGAATTTGGTATTTATTTTTACATAAACATGTTCAGGGAAGGGAATTTATCATTTTACAAAGAAAAAACTATTTTTGGGGGAACACTTGATTTCATGCGCACAGTGGGAATTTCACAATAAACTCGGTGCATCACAGTGGTTAAGCGGTAGAGTACCCGACTGGCAATGCCGGGGTCGTAGGTTCGCGCCCACCTCACAGCCCTGGTGGATTTTTTCATTGATATATATCACGTTATTGTGATTTGTGTGTTTATTAAAGTGATTATCAATAAAATAATATTTTGTTTTGTTTGTATAATTTCAGCTCTAAACTGCCTTACGTTTGACTTTATTGGTACATCTGTGGATGAGAGCAGTGATGATCTGGGGACAGTTCAAATCCCCACATCGTGGAGACCGGCTTTTCTGGATTTTTCTACAGTTCAGCTATTCTTTGACCTTTATGCCTCGCTCCCTGCTACACTGTCACCTGTGGTAAGGTTTTACTCGTTGTTGTAAGTTGTGATCATGCTTACTAATCCATCCTATTTTAAATTGGATAAAAAATTGTGTAGTGGATATCACGGCACAAAACCTAGACTTGTTGCACTTGTTTATTGTATAAGGTAGTAGAAGGGGTATCTGGCTGTGCCCAGGTGTCTGTCCCCCTCCTCTCTCCCTTCCTGACTCCCTCTTTCCCTCTCCCACCCTGACTCCCTCTCCCATCCTGACTCCCTCTTTCCCTCTCCCACCCTGACTCCCTCTCCCATCCTGACTCCCTCTCCCATCCTGACTCCCTCTTTCCCTCTCCCACCCTGACTCCCTCTCCCATCCTGACTCCCTCTTTCCCTCTCCCACCCTGACTCCCTCTCCCATCCTGACTCCCTCTTTCCCTCTCCCACCCTGACTCCCTCTCCCATCCTGACTCCCTCTTTTCCTCTCCTACCTCCTCTCTTCCCCTCTTCCACACCTTCTCTACCTCTCTCCCTCTTTTACACCCTCTCTACCTCTCGACCTCTTCCTCCCTCCCTTCCCCATCACTTCTCCCAATTTCCCTTCCTCCTCTCATCTCCTCTCGCTAATTCCCCTCTCTCTTCCCCCTCTAACCATTTCTCTCATCTCCACCTTTCACCCCTACTGTTCCCTTCTCCATTATCTCACTTCTCCCTCTCTCCCAGTCCTCTCATGCCTTTCTTCTCTCCTTCCTTCCTTTTTCTATCTTCCCCCCCCCTTCTCTTCCATCTCCATTCTACCCACCATTCTTTCCACTCTCCTCCCATCTCTCCTCTTCACCTATCACCCGGTCTCCTTCCCTCTCACTCACTCCCCTTCCCTTTACCAGTTTTCCCCCCTCTCTCCCCCTCTCCACCTTTTTTCCCTTCTCCTCCTTTATCCCCCCCTCTCCTCTCTCCCATTCTCATTCTCTCACTTTTCCCCTTTCCTCTTCCCTCTCCTTTCTACTTACCTCTCTTCTAACACCTCTCCATTCCTCCCTTCCCCCCCCCCTTCATCCATCCCCTTTTTCACCCCCCTCCATTCATCCCTCCTCTTTCCACTTTCTTCCCTCTTCCTCTCTGAAAATTGAATGTACGTACTGTATTACAAAGCACTGAAAAAATGCTAAAAAAAAACTATGGAAAATGCATCACCAAAAATACATTTCATACTTTGTGGAATTTGTAGAGTTTGCTGTTGATACTGAAATTCCTTAAAGTGTGGGCACTGAGGCTGACCCCAACTGGCCTTTGACACTCCCATACTCTCCATGTGAAGTCTGGATACCAGAATATAATTAATTTAGATATGATTTTTTATCTATATATGATTGATAGACATCATATAGATATGATTTTATCGAAATTAATTTAGTAAATTGTACAAATGGAGAGTTGACCAGACCACACACTAGAAGTTGAAGGGACGACGACGTTTTGGTCCGTCCTGGACCATTCTCAATCGACTTGAGAATGGTCCAGGACGGACCGAAACGTCGTCGTCGTCCCTTCAACTTCTAGTGTGTGGTCTGGTCAACATACTTCAGCCACGTTATTGTGACTCATCGCCTGCACAAATGGAGAGGTTATTAATGAAGTACTTTTATGCACACAATTCTTAATGCATAGACGACAGCTTAAATCATTGACGTTAGTTTATTCTAGTTGAATGTAGATCACGTCATTTGTTTTTTCACTGTAGAAATTTAAGGAAATTGGGTTTTGTTTATAAATCATTGATTATGAAGATTTGACATCTCTAGCTATTCTAATCTAATAAAATGATAAATCTTGTTATTATACTGAAGTTAGAAAGTCAGTAATTACATCCAACATTCTCCAGTTCAAACAGATTGGTTGCAATTGCAATTGTAAATGTTGTAATGATCTGACATTTGGTATCCACCTGTCCTCCCATCTAAAAACACACAATAATACTTTAAACAAAACACAATAGGGTATATTGTATGACTATTGTTGTCTATCTTGATTATAGCAAAGTTTTTTGATACCATGCCTTATGAAAGATAAATTAGGAAGAGGCCTACAGTGCTGGGGGTGTTATCTTAAGTTCTTAAGTTGGATATGGGCATGGTTATGTCAAAGGAAACAAAGTTGATACAAGTGGAGTAAAATGTGTGTGTGAAACCGTTGTAGAGTATCCTAGGTACTGGGACCTCAGTTGTTTACCATATACTGTTTATAAACAGATTAGGTCCCACTTCTTGTCCCTTGATGAATATCTGCCATTCTTCTGACACGTGAGGACCATTTACTTGTGTAAATTCCTAGTCTTTAGTACAGTATTTGCTTCACAATTTTTTGTTTACAAGCCATACTTCTTGCAAGGACTGCATTATCTTCTTGCAATATCTGCACTATGAGCTGCATGTGTTTGGGGCAGCCCTCCCTAAGTGTTCATGTAGCATTGTCCCCATGTTTTCAGGAGTTCACCTCTAAGATGCCGGGCTGCTGGGGTGGGAAGCCTCTCCCCGAGTAGTACACGAGACGCTCCAGTTAGGGGTTCCCTGTTCGTTTATTGCACGCACTTGAGTTCGTGCTCTTGTTTATACAGCACTCCACAGACATCTTTTGTAGCCAAGTTTATCCTGTAGGCTGCATTTCTGGTAGTACAGAATGTTAATTGTGTTTGTCACAGTGAAGCCTTATTTATTAAATACAGTTATCTGACTGTAGATTTTAATATTAATTGTTCAATATAATTATGGAATGAGGTGTAATCAACGCACAATTCAATATTCTCGTTTTCTAGAGAAAACTATGATGTATACTATCTTTTAATGTGCAACTAAAATATTTTGATGAGATTCGTATTAAAGGTTGATAAGTACTGTTTGAAGTTTCCGACACTTACAGGGTGCTGGTGGCCCATTATTTGGTTAATGTTCCTGGCTCCAGTTGGTCATGTTTGGTGGTTTTTGAAGTTTTGTTTTCTGTGCACCCTCCAGTTGTCTGTAAATTTGTGCTGCCTTTCTGGAGGCTTTTTCTGGTGAGGTGGTGGATTGTCACCTGCACCCTGATGCCTCTCATGAGGGATTCAGGTTCTGGATGTGGTGCCTGGTAGGCCTAGCACAACTATCTGCAACTGATCTGACCTTTCAGGTTGAAGCAATCTGCTTGCTTGCTTGATACCTGCTTGATGGGGTTCTGGGAGTTCTTCTACTCCCCAAGCCCGGCCCAAAGCCAGGCTTGACTTGAGAGCTTGATCCAACAGGCTGTTGCTTGGTGCAGCCTGCAGACTCACATATCCACCACAGCCCAGTTGGTCTGGTACTTCTTGAAGAAAACTATAGAGCTTTCAATTGAAGATGTCCACGGTGTTCCGGCAATATTTCTTACACTCGCTGGGAGGATGTTGAACAACCGTGGACCTCTGATGATTATATAGTGTTCTCTGATTGTGCCTAATGGCACCCCTGCTCTTCATTGGTTCATTCTCCAGAAGACAGCTTCAGTGAGCCACCAGGGCTCCTCTCGAAATTTGCATTTCATTACATTCAGTGCTGGGTTTTCGTTTGATTATATTTGAAACATGTCATTTTTCTTTTCAGACATTGTCATGCTTGGTTCAGATAGCCTCTGTGAGGCGAACTCTTTTTAGCAATGAGGAACGAGCAAAGTTTCTCTCTCAACTAGTCAATGGTGTTAGGAATATACTACAAAATCCACAGGTTTGTTTAATCTGATTTATTATTTTTGTCATGCATCAGTTGAACAAAATACTTAACAATATCACTAGAATGTCTAATAGTGACACAGTTATCATTACCTTCTCATCTCGACTTTTAATATGTAATGAATTTTGGATATTTGTTTCTTAAAAGATGACAATGAAATTTTGAGATTTTACAGTAACCTAATTGGAATATCTTTAGTCTTTCTGTTTTACGTAATGATGATGTAATGATGATGATGATTTATATGATGTCAAATTAAAGAAGCATATGTGATATAGATTGACTTGTTTGATAATTGTTGTATCACTGTTTTAATTATCTATTTTAGGGCCTGAGTGACCCATCTAACTACCATGAATTTTGCCGGTTGTTACTGCGACTGAAAAGCAACTATCAGTTGGGTGAGCTTGTAACGGTTGAACATTATCCAGATGCCATACAGCTGATAGCAAAATTCACTGTCGAGTCATTAAACATGTGGCAGTTTGCCCCAAACAGTGTTCACTACTTACTGTCCCTGTGGCAGCGTATGGTTGGATCTGTACCCTATATGAAGGTAAGTGTCTTGTGTAAAGGGTTATGTCATTATGTTTACCTCTAACGTGTTGTTTCAGAATACTTTTCTTGCATCGTGTGTTATGAGCAGCGTGCACACAACACATAATGTTGTTTTCTGACTACAGGTTTACTCGTACGATGAGTCATAATAATGTGGCTGAAGATATGATGATCAAACCACACATCAGAAGATGGAGAAACGATGACGCTTCTCCATCTTCTGATGTGTGGTTTGGTCATCAACAGGCTTATTGCTTATTTTCTGTTTGTGTATTTGTACTAACTACTTGTATAACTACTATACGTATCCTTCAAACTTTGAGCAGCTGTATTTTGCCACCCAGTTTCAAGTTGGGGGACTGTACCTGTATTCAGTATGCTGTGTCTTTATCCAAAAGTAATTTTTTGTAAGCTGAATTTTTGTGTAATTTTTGCTGTGAAATAGTTATCATCCCCCCTTTTTTTTTAGTATACATACTGCTGTATAAGTTCAATAGGATTTATCCAGTATTCATTTCTGAGCTAGGATTTCTTAGTCACTTTTTACACCAGAACTTGGGTCTGTCCAGGACACAACAATCCCATCAGGCTCCGTCATTGACCCATGCTCTACGATGACGTGTACCTTTGCAAACATTCTAAACACCTCAGCTGGAGAGGGAATACATAAGAGGTAAAATTCAGTTTATGCAACAGTGTGTCTTGAAAACATGCTTGTGAAGCAAAATACAAAATCTAAGAGCAATATGATAGCAAAAAAGACCCCCTTCCCACAGGACAGAGTCCTGATAATGGCCAGCAGTTATCTTGAAGAGGAAGCAGTATTTGGATGACTGATGGCCCGATAAGGCGAGATGTTATCCCACTCACATCAGCAGTAAAACTGGATGTGGAACTCTGGCTAGAATGGCTGGCTGTCAGCTGGCAACTTGCTGCATGCCCTGGCGGGGAGGTTTCGTACCCAGTTTTGTACAAGTCTTTTTGGTCTGTGTGATTCTTTTGTGGTGTCTGTTGGCTGTTTTAGTTCTCTACTTTCATGAATCAAGCATTTGTTCTGTATTGTTTCATCTGCTTTGAGTGCTTTCTTGGTGAGGATGATCATAACAATCCCATGCTCTCTGCCTCATCAAGGGGGCTCAGCTTCTGGTTCTGGCTCCCTAAAAAAGGATGCTCATAAACTTACAGTATTTACAATGAATCATTATAGCATTCATAGTGGTTATCTTCTTGAGTTATCTTGAGATGATTTCGGGGCTTTTTAGTGTCCCCGCGGCCCGGTCCTCGACCAGGCCTCCACCCCCAGGAAGCAGCCCGTGACAGCTGACTAACACCCAGGTACCTATTTTACTGCTAGGTAACAGGGGCATAGGGTGAAAGAAACTCTGCCCAATGTTTCTCGCCGGCGCCTGGGATCGAACCCAGGACCACAGGTTCACAAGCCCAGCGTGCTGTCCGCTCGACCGACCGGCTCCCAGGTTAACTTTGGTTACCAAATCTTGAATACAAAGTATTCCTGATGAATTTAGATCTACTGTAGACAGCAGCATCTGACAGGTCACAACTCCTGTTCTGAAGACCGAATTTCTGGACAAATGTTGAAAGATTTATAAACCATATTTTGAGGCACTTACAAAAACTTGCTGTTGATCAGACCACACACTAGAAGGTGAAGGGACGACGACGTTTTGGTCCGTCCTGGACCATTCTGAAGTCGATTGTCGATTGTGACCATTCTCACAATCGACTTGAGAATGGTCCAGGATGGACCGAAACGTCATCCTCCCTTCACCTTCTAGTGTGTGGTCTGGTCAACATACTTTAGCCACATTATTGTGATTCATCGCCTGCATAAGAACTCGCTCTATGCAGATACTGTACAACTTTTATTTGATGAACAAATACGGCTTATCACAGCAAAAGGGTTAAATCTTCCTATCATTTCCTTGGCATCTAATTCCTGTCTAGTTGTTTATATTTTTTCACATTAGCTTTATCTACTGTAAAGCCTGTTAATTTTGTTCATAATATGATCACTTCCTTTACAGGCTACTGAACCACATCTCCTAGAAACCTACACACCCGAGGTTGTGCGTGCTTATGTGTCTTCACGGCTGGAGAGCGTGGGTGTGGTATTACGTGAAGGCCTGGATGATCCATTAGATGATGTTACTGTTATTCAACAACAGTTAGATCAGGTATGCAATTAATTTAAAGGCTAGCATTGAATGTAATGAAAGGCCTCTTTCTGGGGGTCCCTAAGTGGTTCCTCCATTTACTCTCCTGGAATCTTCCAAACATAATGGCTCGCAAGTGCCTACTGTAGACTAGGACTATAATGTATCTTCCCCTATACATACTAACTGGCTAACCTCTCGCAGTGTTTTAAAGAGAACGCCAAAAGAACCTTCAATTGTATACCTGATCAACCAGGCTGTGATTCATACATCAGCCTGCGGGCAGCCACATCGAACAGCCTGGTTGATCAGACCAGCAACCAGGAGGCCTGGTCATAGACTGGGCCACAGGGATGTTGATTCTCGTAATCATCAACAGGTAGTCAACAGGTAGGTAGCCCTCAATAGAGGCAAATGGAAGTCTGGGGATTAAGGATCACTACAGTACCAAGAGAAAAACTACAGAAAGAAAGGGCACTCAAAAATAAATTACTGCTTGGTTTCAGAAACAAGAAACGAAGCAGCAAATGACTCTGCAAATGATCCTCCCAGCAGTTAGGTTGAAACCACTAGTTGTGGCTAGCTATTGACAGGTTGCAGGATCGCCGGTAGCTTCAGCTTACTATGTCAATAAATCTAATTCTGGAGCTGAAAAATGGCCCACTGAGGAACTTTGAAGGGGAGGAGGGACCAGGGTACCACTGAAGTTTAACCAGAAAAAGGAGTTTTGTTACATTCAATGCTGGAAGTCTAGAGGGAAAGAATGGCAGTTCTCTGTAGCTAACTAACCAGAGAATAAAAGGAAAAACTGTACAACCAGGGAGGAGAGCGAATACCAAACACAGAGTTGAGAATCTAGGATAGGAAACCCAACCCAGGACATCACAAGCCAGATAGGGACCAGGAACAGAAACCAGATAATGGGCCACTAGTACCTCATTACACTTCCAAAACCCCCAAGCCTGAATATTGCTCCATAACATGTTTGAAAATAAGATGGTCAAAAGCTGCATAATTGTGAACATTATGGGCCCGAGGGTACGCTGTAAGCTGGCTTCACTTAGTGATACTGTGGACAACTGGAGAGAATGGAGTCTTGGAAACAGGGACAAAGGGAACCGGATTAACAATGTGTCCACCGAAGCAGTACAGGTTTCATGCAGGCAGAGACAAACAAATGTAACCAGATACAAAAAAAGATGCACCTCTTTGTGAACAAATGCAGCAACAACTACCAAAAGACCCCCTCTGGAAGTCAATCATCTCATTCTTCACTGGTAAAGAAAGAATGGGTTTTAAAGGAAGAAACCACAAACATAACATCATTTTTATTTGCCAACATTCAGGGTATAAAAACATGCAAATGTAACAAAGTGCATGTCATAGATGGCCTCTTACATGAGGCAAGTGCAGTGTTTGCAGCCCTAACGGAAACTCATAACAAGGGCTACCATGATAGTGAAATATGGATTTTGGAGTACAATCTTTTCAGATGTGACAGGAAACACCGGCTACAGGGTGGGGTCAGCCTGTAGATCAAGGACACACACACATCTGTACTGAGCTGCTAAACACCACAAATGATATGGTGGAAGTGCTAATAATCAAAATAGAGATCTTAAATGTAGTTATTGTCCTTCAATATAAGTCACCGGAGGCAAATCATCAGCAGTTTAAAGACCAACTAATAAAAATAGAGCACTGCTTGTTAAACCTCACAAATCCAGCCCCAAACATCATCCTGCTTAGGGACTTCAACCTACAGCACCTGAAATGGAAGACCATAGTTGATACAGTTGTACCTGAGAGAATTCCGGGAAGTCGATTAAATGAACAGGCACATACAAATGACCTGCTACGGATGTGCGACAGGTTTGCCTTAAACCGGCAAATAGTAAAACCAACTAGGAAGGAGAACACGCTGGACCTCATTTTCACTAATGATGAATTGATCAGGAACATAATGATTACAAATACCTGTTACTCAGATCACAACTTAATTGAAGTTCTGACAAGCATGGGGGAATAGACCTTCAAAACCAGTCCCGATTCCCGGTGGAGGAGGTTTCAGCAAATTCAACTTCAATAATAAACAGATAAACTGGGAGCAAATAAACCAAGACTTCACAGAAATAAGCTGAGGAGAACAGCTAGAAAATGCAAACCTGAACCAGTGCCTGGAAAAAATAAGCTTAGTAGCACTAGAAATACAGTGGTACCTCGGATTATGAACGTCCCTGTTTACGAACTTTTCGGGTTACGAGCCCTAATTGTTTGGAAAATTTGATTCGGGATAAGAACTTTGCATCAGGATATGAGTTTATTGATACGCTTATGGCCAACCTAGCACGTGATGGCACGGCGATCGCACCTCAGTTTACCAGTGCCATGTGCCCAGTGACCATCCTACCTGAATTTTTTACTAAAATTTAAAAAATTTTGTCGGATTTTTGGCCATTTGAGCATAAAAGTTATTATATATCTCGCCATGGGTCCCAAGAAAGCCAGTGGTAAGGTTCAAGGCAAGAAATCACATGTGAGAATGACAATTGTGGAAAAACAAGAGATCATTCAGAAGCATGAAAATGGAACTCATGTTGTTGAACTAGCTAGGTAGTACAACAAATTCATGTCAATGATATGCATTGTACTTGTCAAGAAAAAGGACATTATAAGTGCTGAAGTGGCAAAAGGTGTATCAACAATCACGAAACAAAAACCACAAATACTTGATGTGGAAAAGTTGTTATTAATTTGGATACACGACGAGGAGTTAGCGGGTGATAGTGTTTCAGAGGCCATCATTTGTGAGAATGCCAGAGTATTGCACGAAGACCTTGTAAAGAAAACCCCTGGAATGAGTGCAGATACGATAGACTTTAAGGCAAGCAGGGGGTGGTTTGAAAAATTTAGAAAAAGAAGTGGTATTCATAGTGTTCTGAGGCATGGGGAGGTTGCCAGCTCAGCCAAACCAAAGGCTGAAAGATTTATTGAAGAATTTAAAGAGTTTGCAGAGGCTGAGGGATACCTACCACAACAAATGTTGTGGTAGGTATCCCTACCACAAATCACGACCACTGGGTGCAGGCTTTGTTTTCCCTTTGTCGACTGATGCGTTGCCAGTTTCCTTTTTGGGCTTTTCGGGGTTCTGTTCTCTGGTGCCTTCCTCCCCCTTGCTAAATATCCCTCTGGGCATGTTGACTCTTAGTTGGGGTTTCATGACCAGCACTCACCAAGCCGCTCAGGGTCGATGGTTGTCCTGTTTTTGTCGGGCACTCAGTTCAGTGCCGGGGTTTGCGACTGTGTAGCATGCCTTGAGGAGGTTCGGATTCCTCCGTGCTCCAACTCCTTTTAGACTGTTCCTCAGTGGTTCCTTATGTGATCCTGGGGAAGGGGGGGGGGCTCTCTTTGGTCTGTTGCCCTTTGGTTGGTGTTGTTAGTGTTTGCAGTTTTATCCACTAGGTGCTCCTTTTCTCTTTCTTATTGGGGGGGGGGGTCCTTGCTTCTGCTTTTCTCTGCCCCTAGTGTGTCCTCCTTTGTGGTGAGATAGCAACTTGGAGCCACCAAGCAGCTCCTAAAGAACACCAGCATAAATGTAATGAATTGTCTCATTCTGGTGGGATGAATTGTAGCTTAGTTGATTATGGCAGCGTCTGGGATGCTCTCGGACGCAGGTTCGAATCCTCGTCACGGCCCTTGTGGATTTGTTCATTTGATGCATCACGCTATTGTGATATCTGTGTGCAAATGGGACACCCTTTGTGGGTAAGAAGGATATTCATTTGTGGGACCTTAAGGCTCTGGCTGGCTTCTCTGGGTTTGTTAGTATTAGGCAGGGTTGAGTATTTATGATTCATGTTGGCTCGGTAAGAATATATCCAATGTCTTTTACAACTTGCTAAATCTCAGTGTTTCTCATAATGCATGGGACTCAGATTGTAATCCAAATGGTTGAAAAGTGAGAACATTTTTATTATTCATCATTTTAATTTATATTTCAATGGCAGTCAGCTACCAATTTATTTTTCAAGGTTGGAGCTTGATGCTGTAATTTCATACAAACACTCACACGTTGAATTTCCATGAAACACGAAGCCTGTCAGCACAGATAAATGACTGTCATAATACACACACAAGGTTTATTTTATTAGTTTTGTAAGTTCTTAGTGAATTATTTAAAAACTTAAATATATTTTCATGTTTTTTTTTTTTTTTTTTTATCTCACTAATTATAAATAACTTTGTTTCAGCTGTCTACAATAGGTCGCTGTGAGTACGCAAAAACATGCGCACTCTTGGTGCAGCTGTTTGAGCAAACTGCCCAACGTTACCAGGAGCTAATATCTACTCGTATGAACAGCCGGTCCCAACAACACTCAATGGAGGAAATAGCAATATTAGAAGGTATAAATTTTATATTTGTATATTAAAAACAATTTTTCTATAATCTTTATGCACCTGTTTCTTGTGGAGACATCCCAGCCTTGACTGGATAGCTGCATGCATAATGTTTCTCATATCATATATAATATGCTGTTTAGTAGTTTGAAATTAATCTTAAAGAGCATTTGAAACATTTATCAAAGAATTCCAAATGCTGCTGCTCTAACTTTCTACATCTATGGGTCTTCTTCTTTCTCTCCTTAGGTTTCAGGTTCTGGGTTGAGGGATGGCTTGGTCCCTGGTCTTTTTGTCTTCTGTTGTTGAATGAGGGTTCAGGACTTTGGAAATGTCTGAATTGAAGACCTTTGTTCACTTGATCCATCTATGGGTTATTCCTTCAATGGTCGGCCTCGTGTTATATTTAGCTGTGTTTCCAAATACACACCTTGAACCATTTGGCCTTGTCTGGACAAGATTTTTACAATTTTGCTTGTTGTCTAAACAAGCTAAATTCAACTTGCTGTTCTTACTTCTGCGAGGTTGGGTTCTTGCATTGGTTTTGATTGAGTCTATTCTCATTTCCAGATTTGCTGGCTTCATGATTGCATTAAAGTGTTTCTGGTTCCTCTTGTCATGCACTCTCTCGGTTGGGTTTCTCTTACGAAGCACTGTAGTTTCGTCTTAGCTCTTTCCTTCTTGTATGTTGTGCAGTTTGGGTGCTTTGCCAGGTTTTGGCCACCCTTGGCTCATTTACATAATTAGGTAGCATCCTTAATTGGTTTGTTTTGATCCTCCCTCAGTCCCAGACTGAGAGTGGATCTTTCTTCCTCATTTAAACGTTGTGCTTCATTGAGGTACAGTTTCAGCTCCTCTGTCTTCCTTTGAAAGATCTCGTATTAAAGACCACATTAATGTCATTAATGAATGGCATCCCTGAAAAGTTCTTCGATCTGTTTTTCTCCATTTAGGGTGACTCATTGCCTCTTTAAGGGGCAATGTTTTTCCATTTTCATACCTTCAGTAATAAGACATTGTCTTTGGATGCAAGACCTTCCACTAACCAAATAATTTTATCTGCCTATTACTTCCATGTTTTTCTGTGGACAGCTCCTCTGGCTCCCCAGAGCCGGAGGAGCTGATGTGTATATATTGGATATTATCAGATGTATATATATTGGATATTATCAGATGTGTATATATTAGATATTATCAGCCCGGTATATTATATATACTGGGCTGATGTGTATATATTAGACTGTGGCATCAATTTAATTAGAGTTCTAGCCTACCGTGGATCACGAGCCAGAACCTGGCCCCCTCAGAGAGACACGAGGAGCAATGGCCTATAGAAATCACCATGTAGTGGGAAGAATTCTATATCTGCCATCTACCTGGTTAGGCACCCAGAAAAGTAGGCATCCCAAAACAGATTCCACCTGGTTAAAATTCCTACCGAAAACCAAACTATCAAGCAAAACTCCACAATCTTAAAAAAGGCAAACGAGCATGATGTCACAACCGCCGGTGCACTGCTGTCTGCGCAGCTCCCTCCCCTCCCTTGGAGGGAAAAGGGGGAGCCCCAGACCCCTCGCACCAGCTGAAGTGTTCTGTGGCGGTCGTTCGATTCTGGGTCCTGTCCTTGAGCAGTGCTGTACCTTTATGGTGGTGTTCTGCTGTGTGGTGGTGTGCAAGCCAAGAGTAATTCACGGAGTACTGGGGCTGCATTTGCTTAGGGCCATCTTCCCTAGGTGCCCTCTTCCCACTTGTTCAGCTGTTGCTTCGGGTTCTGGCTTGTTTGGAGACTTACCAGGGAAGAGTCCTGTTGGCCCCTTGGTAGCCGGCCCAGCCTTGGTTTCTGGCGCTGCTTGCTCGGTGTCTGAACCCGGGGACTTTTCTGGGGTTCCTCCTCTTTCAGCAGATCGGTTCGGTCCGGTATATGACTGGTTCGATCTTCTCCTCCGATCTTTGCGTCTGGTCTTTCTGACACGGGTTTACCACCTCTTGTATGGTGATCAGGTGACTTCGTTGATGGTATCCCACCTGTGTGTTTCGTCTCAGCGACAGTATGAAGTCTCCTGGCAGTCCTTTCATAGGTTGTCTTCCGTTTTGAATCGGGTTGTCTTGTCCTTTCTCTCTAGGTTGTTTCAAGACTGTCATCTTATGCATAATACTGCTGCCTTGTATCATGCGGCACTGGCGAAGTCACTCCTGCCTGCGTTCAGGGTGGATGTTACTTCTGCTCCATTTCGCAAGCTATTTAATTTAGTGTGTTGTTTCACCTCCGGCCTGCTCATGCGCCGTCTGAGCCGTCCTGCTTCATGTTCTCCTCTGGTGCACGGGTTTTTGCTCTTTCGGTCCCGGTGGTAAGTTTGTACATTTGCAGCCGTCTCTTTCTTTCCTGCCACAGGGCGAGATGGAGACTTTCCGGTCGGGGTCCTTGGGTGGTTGATGCTTGGTTGGTCTGGCCGGGGTGCATCATGTGTTGTGCCGGTTGCGACACTGTCATTATTTGCGCGCCATGGCCTCGGTGACCAGGGACACGCTTTAGGTCGACCTGGTTTCCCTTCTTCCCTATTCCAGGGCTCGGGTCTTCCAGGTCGTCCGTAGGCTTATTCAGTCCAGCCAGCCTGCAGTCTGTCCTCATGACCATGATGTTTGCAAATTTGCTGCTTTAGCAGTCATTTTTGGTAATATGTCTTGGGCTGACATTCGGGCACATGGATTTTGGAGATCGAACAGGGTCCTGGCTGCCCGTTACCTTGTTAATGTTCTTGTTCTTAGTCGGGCATGTGTTGCAGGATGCAGCCAGTTGTCTCGACTTCGAGTTGAGATGCAGGTGGTGGCCGCTTACCGGGTAAGTCCCTCTTTATTTATTCTGTGGTTAGGTAGCTCCGAGGAGCCAGAGGGGCTCTCCACAGAAAACCAGCGTTGAATGTAATGAAACTGCCATTTTCTGGGTGAGTCCCAGAGGTTTCCCGGTAACCGACCCTCCCTCCGGTCGGCGGTTTTCGCGTTTTGATATTCAGCCTCAGAATTGAGGTTGGGTAGCTGGCATGAGGAGTCTGGGTCTCCCCCTTCACAGCTGCACAGACAGCGGTGACGGTTGTTACATCCTGCTTGTTAGCTTGTTTTCAGATTGTGGAGTTCTGCTTGATAGTTTAGTTTTCGGTAGCAATTTTAACCAGGTGAGTCTGTTTTGGGACACCTACCTTCCATGGTGTCTAACCCAGCAGATGACAGACATAGAATGCTTCCAGCCACATGTGGGTTTCTATAGGCCATTGCTCCTGTTACCTCTCTGAAGGGGCCAGGTTCTGGCTCGTGGACCCCGGTAGGCTAGAACTCTAATCGAATTGACTGATGCCACGGTTTAATATATTCACATCAGCCCGGAATATCTGTGTCTCTGGGGAGCCTTGGGGACTCGCCCAGAAAATGGCATTTCATTACATTCAACGCTGGGTTTTTTACCGTGAAGTGAATTAATTTCTTTGCAACCGAAAATTATTAGGGACTTGCATGTGGGAGGGGATTATTAGGGAGCCTAGCTGTGTTTTGTACCAGCTTTGAGTTTGATGACAGTGCCTTTCTAACTTCCTGTCTGGTGTCTGCTTTTCTGGTTACTGCAGTTTCTGGCTTCCTTAACCACTTCAGTTAATATATCTTTCTGGACACTTGTACATAAGTTCATTGCATATCCTCCTTGCACTTTTCTATACTATGTGTAATGTCCTTCATCTTACTGACAAAAGATCTTTTCTCTGTTGAATATCCTTGTGTAACTTATCATCTAGATTTGATTTGACTTCTTTAAAAGATTACTTAACCTTGTTTTTATCTTCCTGAACTTTCCCTTTAGCTTTCCAAAGTGCCTTTCCTTCCATAATTCCTTTATTTGATTTTCTGTATAGCTAAATTGCTGTTAGACTACCTGCATCCTGATGCCAAACTTGCTTGTCTATTTCCAGAACTGTTACCTTATTACTCAAGTTTTTATCAGTACTCTAAAATTCCTAATTATTTCTTAGTAAAATTTTACAGTGTTCTCTATCTTCACCAACCTGTTGTAAAACCACAAAGATTAATATTTTCCTCATTAGAACCTTTAAAATCCAATTTTGTTTGTGGTATTGTCTTCTATGGCTGTGGCCATCTTTGATGTTGTCTGTGATTATTTTGAATAGCCGCTTCATCCACACCCTGCTTCCAAAAACTTTCCTATTTCCTTATTCCTTGACAACCCTTGCATAGCTTCAGTCACTTTCTATGGTATAGGCCCTTATACTTTGTCTATTTGGTCAACACTCTTCTTAGAATGATTTTTCATCTACACTTTGTTTTATCTCGGTTATTCTTCATGCTTTCATCTCCATGATGAGGTGGCATACTCCAAAACTGGTCTCATGTAGACAGTGTAAAACGCCCTAAAGGCCTCCTTACTTAGGTTTCTGAATGATGTTCTAACTTTTGTCAGCATACAGTATACTGCTGGTGTTGTCCTATTTATATGTAACTCAGGAGTTAGATAAGGTGTTTCGTCTACTTCCAGGTCTTCCATGTAGTTTCTCTTCATTTTGTCGAGCCTGGCATTAGGCCGGGCTCAACAAAATCTCAGTGCTTTGTATAACCATCTCAGTGTTTATGTTCAGGAAGCCACTAGGATTCACCTAGAAATTAATTTTCATTATATTCAATGCTGGGTTCTTCCTCTTGGTTCACTGTTCCCCCATTGGTCTGGAATATATTTATGTAGGCATTGTTTTTGTAGGGTCTCCTCTAGTTTTCAGGTTGGAGACGTTCATGCTCTCTTCTAAAGGCACGGATTCCATTATTTTGGCTCTGGCGAGTTGTTTGTTCATCTGCAACAATATTCTTTTCCGACAAGAATGAGACTTCTGGCTTCTAGATGGGTCCTTAGGTGATTGATGCTTGGTTTGTCCAACCATTGGTGCATCATCTGTTTGTGGCTATAGCATCTGTTCATTGCTAGCTTTGCTCCACCAGTTCTTCTTTGGTGGATGCTCTTCGTTTTTATCTTGTTTCCTTAGTACCCTGTTCCAAGGCACGATTGTTCTAAGTGGTCCATAGTACTGTATCATTAATGTTATCCAGCTTGTAGTCTACTCTCGGACCCACAATGTTTTTAAGTTCACAGCTTTGGCCGCCATTTTCACTAATATGTTAGGGCTGATATTCAGACTCGGGGGTTTTAGAGATCTACCAAGGTCTTGGGGGTTAAGTATCTGACCAATGTTCCTGGCCCATTTGTGCTGGTTTTGCCCTGGGTTGGGTTGACCTGCATGGTGTTTCAACTTCAGCTTTTTAGTTACTACTTCTCCTCCCTGGTAAGTCTCATGGTTCCTTCTCCTCAGTTGTTAGGTGCAGTGAGAGTCCAAGGGCTTCCCCAGAAACCAGCACTGGATGTAATGAAATGCCCCATTCTGGTTGAGCTCATGTAGCTCCCTGACTTCTTCCCCTCCTACCAAGCTCATCTGTTTGTGGTCGATCAGTTATGGACAGGGCAGTCACCAGCTTTGAAGCTAGGTGACTTCCCTAGTGTGCTTTGACTAGGTGACTGGGTGCTCAGCACACTAGGGATGTTTTGTATTCAGTTTTGATTTAATAATTTTGTGGTGTCTGTTGGCTGTTTTGGTGCTTCATTTCCATGAACCATGCAGTTGTCTGTATTGCCTCGCTTACTTTCTGGTTACTTCCCCAGTAAGGGTGATCGTTCTGTCTCTGGTCTCCGGTAGGCCAAGAGGACCTTAATGACCGATGTGACTTAGCAGTGGGAAGCTATCTATCTCTGCAACACAGTTTCAGGGAGCCACTTGGGCTCACTCAGAAAGTAGTGTTTCATTACATTCAATACTGGTTTTTTATTTTTTGTGTGTCAGTTTTCAACTGAACTAATGAAGACAGTAAATTAAGTTTTTGAATTTGTGATTTATATTATATATTATAATTTGTACATGCCATGTAAAAAACTTTTCTCTTTCTTTTATCAGGTCAGTTAACATGGTTGGTCTATATGATTGGGTCTGCAATTGGTGGTCGTGTGTCATTCAACACCAGTGATGATCATGATGCCATGGATGGGGAATTAGTATGTAGGTAAGTGATGATTTGGAATAATTTTTTACCATCAATTTTGTTAAACTTCTCAGCCATTCACCAACTTTGTACAGTATCTACCTAATTTTTTGTTTATTTTTTTTTAAACTGTGTAGGCTTCCCTTAGTTTCTCTAGGCTTATACACTGCAACACTTGCTTGAGTATTGCAGTGCTAGACTCCAGCCTGAAACACATGCTGGTGGGGTGACTGGAAGAATTCTGACCTGGATCAAAATTTTTCTACCTGACAAACAGATTAGGTCGGTAATCAGAGGCAATGTATCTAACTGGAGGAGTGTTACTAGCGGAGTGCCATAAGGTTCAGTTCTTTCACCAGTTATGTTCATCTTCTATATTAATGATCTACCAGAGGGAAAATAGAATTACAGTATATGAACATGTTTGCGGATGATGCTAAGATACTGGGGAAGATAGGAGATGCAGACGATTGTAATGGCCTTCAAATTGATCTAGATTAAATAATGCTTGGAGCATCAAGTTGCAAATAGAATTCAACATGAATAAATGCCATGTTATGGAATGTGGAATCATAGAAAATAGACCACACACAACTTACAAATTATGCGGAAAGGAATTACAGAACTCTAATAGAGAACGAGACCTAAGGGTGGTTTTGGATAGTAAGCTGTCGCCAGAAGAACATATAAAGAACATTGTGAGAGAAGCATATGCATCTCTTTCCAACTTCAGATTTGCTTTTAATTACAAGGATGGTGAAATACTAAAGAAACCATTCATGACTTATGTTGTGTGAGACCAAAATTAGAATATGCAGCAGTTGTATGGTTCCCAGGGAGCCGGTCGGCTGAGCGGACAGCACGCTGGACTTGTGATCCTGTGGTCCTGGGTTCGATCCCAGGTGCTGGCGAGAAACAATGGGCAGAGTTTCTTTCACCCTATGCCCCTGTTACCTAGCAGTAAAATAGGTACCTGGGTGTTAGTCAGCTGTCACGGGCTGCTTCCTGGGGGTGGAGGCCTGGTCGAGGACCGGGCCGCGGGGACACTAAAAAAAAGCCCCGAAATCATCTCAAGATAACCCAAATTTCAAGAAGCATATAAACAAACTGGAAAAGGTACAACTGCGTGCTACAAAATGGCTTCTGGAACTGAAAATCAAGAGTTATGAGAAAAGATTAGAGGCATTAAACATGCCAAAACTAGAAGATAGAAGAAAAAGAGGTGATATGATCACCACTTACAAAATACTAACAGGAAACAACAAATTGACAAAGAGAAATTCCTGAAACCAGCAACTTCACGAACAAGAGGACATGGATTCAAGTTAAGGAAACAAAGGTGCTGAAAAAATAGTAGAAAGTTTTATTTTGCAAACAGAGTGGTAAACAGTGGGAACTAGCTAAGTGAGAAGGTTTATATAACCAATTTATATAATTATATATAATATTAATTTACATATTAACTTAATTTATTATATTAATTTATATAATCATTCCTTTGTGAGTCTGTTGTATTTTGTATCAAAATCAATCTTGTTCTGATAGTTAAACCATCATAAAATATTCTTGATAATGAAATTTATGTAAATTGTATCTGCTGGTGTCTCCATCAGCTAGGCTACTACAGAAATACATGTTTATATATTTTTTATCCCCATGTTCTATTCCAACGTGGCTTAAATAAATATTTAAGCGCAATAGTGGAATAAATTTACCACACACTCTTCCCTTCCCTCTCCCCTCTAGTTCCAGTTATGAAGTGTTCAGTGGTTTAGGAGTCGGGTTAGAGTTTAGTTCGGGGTGTAGCTTAGCCTTCTCTGGGGGTAGTCTCATAGTCTTGCCGGGGTTCTGGAGATTTGCCTGAGTTGTTGGTGATGAACTTTATGCCCTGTCCTGGAACCTTCAGGGATGGGGGACGTTGACTGAGTAGGGTCCATGGGTGCCCTTCAATCCTTCTTGGACCTTGGTTTTCCCTGTGGAGGGTCTTTTGCTTTATAGGAAAACTTTTATCATATTCCCTCCCTCTATATGAGTATGATCACTTGGGTGCTTCCCCTCAGGTTTGATTCCAAGTCCCATTTAGATCCTCAGAGCCAACATATTTTCAGATGTTTCTGCCTTACTGCATTTCACCTTTGGTGGTTCATGTAGACTTGTTTCAGTTCCTCCTGTGAAACTTGGACTTCTTTTCATTGTTAGACCCAACCTTTTTTTTAAATATGGGTCTATTTCAATCTGTTGGCTGCAGTGTGAAATTTTGGGTTCATCCTGGCTGGATGACAACTCTCTCTTTTCTTTGTGGGCCTTGGCAAGAGTTTTGTCTGATCCGCTTGCTTGGCTGGTGGGAGGTGAGTTCAATCTTTCAGGTGCTCTTGAGCAGCGCTTTTTTGCCCAGCTTTTGACTGCCTGTTTGCTTTGGTGCTCCCCCAAGGAGCACCAATAAGTAGCAGCTCCATTTGCAGCTCTCTGTGCTGTCCATAGAGACCACATTTTGGAGGCCCACAAGGCATGTTTGCATTTGGCAGCAGTCATGCAAGTATGGATCTTCATGGATGGGCACTCTGAGCAACTGTGTGGGGATGTGGTGTCGCTTGGTTCTGCCTTGGGTGTGGAAGCCTGCTTTTCTGCCCTTGGTGGCTTTGCCCAAGATGCTTGCCCTTCATCCTTAGGGTTATAGTGGTAACATTTTACTTGACCCGCCTCACATTTCGACAGATCTTGTTAGCTTGGTTGCTAGATTTTTGGTCTCTTACTCTTTTGTCTGCCTCCTGCTTTTTTTGCCACTCTTATTTCCGGAGGATGCCATCGCTTAGGTTTTGTTTGCAATGACCTTTTTTCTTTTCCCCTCCCTATTGACCATTTGTAGTTGTCTCAGGGTTCTGCCCCTCATTCAGAGGCGGTCTGGTAGGGTGGGGATCTTGCATGCTGCTGATTGAGGTCCTCTGTTGGGTCTGATTCCTGGGCTGTTGTGCTTCCTAATGTGAGTTCCTCTTCTACTTGACATCACAACTACACTTCACAGAAGATAGGTTCTGCTCGTAGTTCACACACTGGCCCTTTTGCAGTTTGCAGTTTGCCCCTTTGATGCCACCATGGGGGGACATATGGCTCATTTTGCCAGCGCCTAGTCTCATGATTCATGGTCTTTTCGGATCATCTCCTTTGATCTGCAGTGGAATTGGTCAGTCCCTCTGCTATTCCTGTCGTTGGGTCTTACAAGTCAGGTACTTTCCCTTCCCAACACCCACGTGTTGACTTCTTGCTGAAGATTCCGGGGATTGATGTCCCCATGGCCCGGTCTCTGACTAGGCCTCCTGGATGCTGGTGTGATCCACCAGGCTGATCCAACACTACATTGAGTCCTTGCCGGATGGCTGGACTTTGGTGTAGTTGAGTTAACCTTGTCCCTTCAGTGGGTGTCCCAGTTGTTCCCAGTCCCTTAGTGGGACTTGGCAGATGTATGGTACCTTACCTTGAGGTTACCTTGAGGTGCTTCCGGGGCTTAGTGTCCCCACGGCCCGGTCGTCGACCAGGCCTCCTGGTTGCTGGACTCATCAACCAGGCTGTTAGACGCGGCTGCTCACAGCCTGACGTATGAGTCACAGCCTGGTTGATCAGGTACGATCAGGTACGTCCTTGATTTTTCGGTATTGAACAGCTTCACTCTCTTTCGACCTTTTGCATGTCCACGTTGGCTCATTTTTACCTGCTCCTACAGGCTGGAGTTTGAAGTGGTGTCCCTGGACCTTCAGGAGGCTTATTGGCATGTTGCTATACATCCCAGGTTCAGAGACTGGCTAGGTTTTGTACTGCATTCAGTCTTACTGGTTTCAGGTTCTCCCTTTATGCTTGAATCAAGCTTCTCTTATTTTTTACCGGGGTAGTATGGTTGGTTGTTGCTTGGTTATGTCTTTTTTTTGGAGGGGGTTTGCTTGTGTCATCATCCACCTTGACAACTACAGTAGATGGTTTGGGCCTCCAGCCCATCTTCATCGTTGATTGTAACAGTGCCCATCTTCCCGTGCCTCTGTGACCCAGTAGGCCAAGCAGGACTGTTATGGTGATGTGACTCAATAGTGGGAAGCCATCTCAGCACCACTGATGTACTACCAGAAAGAGGCATTTGATTACATTGAATGCTTGGTTTGTGCACTTGGGCAGACATGCGTATATATCTATAGCCACACTTTTGGGGATAACTAAATGTGTACTATTGCAATATTACTGATAAATTTTCTGTTTTTCTAACAGGATTTTACAACTGATGAATTTGACTGACACATACTTGCCACAAGGAGGATGTGAGCGCAGAGAGTTAGCAACTATATCTTTTTTTGAGCAGTTTCGGAAAATATACGTGGGAGATCAAGTTCACAAGACATCAAAATTCTATCGGCGTCTGTCAGAAATTCTTGGCCTTAATGATGAGTCCATGGTATTAGCAGTATTTGTTAGAAAAATGTAAGTTATTTATATTTGAATTACTAGTGTTATACTGTAAGGCTTGTTAATATTTTTCATGTTTGTTTAGATGATTACAGAATATGCAAATTACTTAAGACCACACTTAGGAAGACAATTTTCCAGAATGATGATTGATCCTATCACAAGACAATCATAATGTCAGGTTGAGTCCTAGGTGTGTTGAGAGGTTCCCACACTACCAGTCACCCCAGAATGCTGGGTGAGGTTTGTCCGGGCACTGACGGAAAATATCCGCTGATCATGGAGCAGGTAGTCTTATAAAACTTAAATTGATCTAAAATGCTGTTAGTTGGAATTGATGAAATGATGTATATTTCTACAGTTTGCCTATTAATGTTCAGTGCAATTTTAGAATTCAGTACTACTGTCTTATGTGAAGCAAATATTTCCTTCAAAATCTGCCATCATTTTTCATTTATTTATTTTCAGATTAATTTGTTAAGGCTTCTACCAATTTATCCAACATATCTTATGAGGACATTTGCTACATAGCCTTCCTGGCTTAGTGCCTTCTTTGATAATTACTTACTTATGAGGACATTATTGGAAAAAACAAAAATTGCTATGCGACAATAATGGTGTGTTCTGTATTTTCATTCATTTGTTGTCATTATCCCATTTCCCACTTCCTTGGGTGTGGAGGCCTTGGTTCAAAGACAAAAATGGGATTAATATAGCAAAAATAAGCTTTAAATATTTCAAATGGAGTAGATTCTGTTTTTGTCATTGGTGGGAAGATGGGATCCCAGCTCTATTCCTCCACCCAAATAATAGAGGGGCTGCAACGATGATTGTACCAGTTAGTAATGTATACTGTGGTCTTCTTTACAAACGTTAACCTTGCATATCTGTATTGGAGAAACAGGTAGTAGTCTAAAATAACCTTATTGTATAAATATAAATGAGAGATGAGGTTGAGTATTGAAAGGTGCTCTATTCACTTAGTTATGCTTGCGGGGGTTGAGCTCTGGCTCTCTCGGCCTGCCTCTCAACTGCCAATCGATCGACTTTACCCCTTTCTCCCCCAGGAAGCAGCCTGTAACAGCTGTCTAACTCCCAGGTACTTATTTACTGCTAGGTGAACAGGATCATCAGGGTGAAAGAAACTGCCCATTTGTTTCCGCCATTGCTGGGGATCGATCCCCAGTCCCTAGGACTATGAATCCCGAGTGCTGTCCACTGGACACAACATTGAATTCTTGAATTGCAAACCGTTTTCAAATTAAATAAGTGTTTGACCCCAGAGTTTGGCCCCCTGGGTCCATTTTGGTACTTCATGGTTCCTGGTGCCTTCTGCAGAGAGTCTTCTATTGCAGGGGGAGGAGTTTTTGCATTTCCCCTTTATTTGTATGAGTTTGATTTAGGTGTGGCTCCTCCCAGGGTTTGATTCCGAGTGCCATTGGACCCCTTCTCGGTCGTCCTTCCGGAGGTTTCCTTTCTTTCATGTCTCCCTGGAGGAGGTTTTAGAAGCCCTTTTTACATACCTCCTTTGTGACCTGGTTTATGCCTCATTGATGGACCCAGCCTCTTTTGAGTTTTGGTTTTCTTTTTGGATGTGTTATGAGGTTCCAAAGTCTTCCCTGTTGGCAAAGAATCCCATGTTTTGTGCACCAAGCCCATATGCACCAAGCTTGAGGGCTTGATGCACTTTTGTTGTACCTGCACGCTTAAGCGGCATGAGGTGTCAACCATATTGCAGGTGTTCCTGAGGGGCCCTTCATTTGAGCTTGTCAATGACTGCCTGTTTTTTTCCTGTTTTTTCTTGGGGTATGGGTCCCATGCAGCTCCATGCCCAGGTTTTCCTGTTTTTGGCAGCACTCGCACTCGTTGCAGACAATCTTTGCACCCGTCTGCATTTGAGTTCCATTGTGCACCTTCTAGGCCTTTTTAGGCTGTGTTCGGATTGGCTAACGGAGGAAGGTGGGGTGCTCGGTAGGTGCCTCTTGCTGGGGTCTTAGTCTCTGCTTAGTCAGTGTTGGCTGTGCTCGCCAAGCTGTACACCCTTATTATCAGGGAGGCAGTGGCCACATTCTTTGCCACCTGACTTGCCTCTCGACATGCAGTGTTGGATCCGGCATTGGCCTGGTTACTGGATTTGGAATCGCCCCCTGCTCTCCTCTCTGCTGCTCCTTTTTCTCCCAATCAGTTTCTGGAGGATGTCATTGCTGAATTCTCGTCATCTTCAGCATCTGAATATTGGCCTATCTTGCCTGGATTATACCTGGATGGGGTTCTGGGAGTTCTACTCCCTGGCCAGGCTTGATGTGTAAGAGCTTTGTCCAACAAGCTATTGCTATGGGGTGGCCCACATATCCACCACAGCCCAGTTGGTCCTGGCTGTGGTGGATGATGAACCTCCTTTGTGTTTGGGTTGGTCGTTCTCAGACTTTGAGGCAATTTGGTAGAGCTGAGGTGGTGCCTGTTGGTCAAGGTAGGCCATCTGTGGAGTTAGATGCCGAGTTGCATTCACTTCCCACTTGGTGGTTCCTACTTTTGTTTGGTCGGCACTGTGTTTGTTAATTTTTAAAGGTGGGCTTGCAGGATTTGCATTAGCTCGCCTGCCGGTGGAGTGGGCAGTTAGCTCGGTTTGCCAACACCTGGTCCAGGTGTTGGCAGACTAATTCATGGATTTTTCATGGCTGAATTCATGGACTCTTCTGGTCGTTTCTTGGGCCAGTAGTGGAGTTCGTTGGTCCTTCCTCCTTTTGGGGAGTCGGGGCTCTGTGTGCAGACTTCCTCTCCTCGTCTTTGTTGGGTTATTTCGGAGCGGGTGACTTTGAGCATGGTCAAAATGACTGCATCTCTGTTGGGTCTTTTGCCTCTTCCTGGTCCCGGAATGAGACTCGCTGGAACTCTAGTTCACCCTCGATTTCTTCAGGTTGAACCAGTTCACATCTTGCCCCATCTAAAAGATAACCATTTTGTTCTGGGTCCATCTCATGCTTGAGGTGGGTGGTTAGATGATCTCCATGGATTTCCAGGATGTGTATTGGCATATTCCTATTCTTCTGGGGTTCAGGGATTGATTAAGCTCTTGTCAAGGGGAACCAGGCCTACCACATTCAGGTTCTCCAGTTCGAACTCAGGTCATGGTGGCCTACCTTCTTTTGCTTGGTGTTCTGATTCTGGCTTACTTTGGCAGCTGGCTGGTGTGGACTCTCAGTTGGTCCACATGTCTGCTAGCCAGGAATCTGGCTCTTTCCCAGCTCACTGGGTTCAGGTTCCTGGTGAACTGGCAGAAGTTGCAGTTGGTTTCATCTCATTTTTGGACTTGGCTGGGCCTTGTTTGAGACTTTCGGTCAGCATCTCTTTTTCCTACCTACCGCAGCCTTGACCCGGCTGCAGTGCCGATGTCTGTTGGTGTCAAGTCATCCCCAGGTGACTCGGTGGTTGCTTAAGCAGCTGTGTAGAAGCCTCAACTTTGCCATAATTGTATTTCCTTTGGACAGGGTTTGGCTTCGGAGAGATCTGGTTTCTCTAGGCCAGCCTTTCACCGCTGTTGCAATTCTTGAATGCGGACACAGTTGGTCCTTCGCCAGTTGCTACCCCACTAGTTTCCTCTTTGAGCTTTTGAAGTTCTGTTCCCTGGCACCACCACCACCACCACCACCATCTGTCCTTGACGTTTTTACGGATCCCTCTGCTCTCGGTTGGGGCTTACCAGGCTGGCTAGGGTCATTGGTCTCCACCCCTTTGTCAGATGCACTGTACTGTGTGGAAGTTTGCAGCAATGTGGCATGCACTGCAGAGACTTTGGATTCCCCTGGGCTCTGTGATCCAGCTCCATTTGGACATTTTTTTTTTCCTTTGATGCATTCTCAATCGGGGGTTGTTCATTTCGGTCCCTGCCTCTTTGGAGCTAATCGCTTCAGGTAACTCGTCTGCTTGGTTCTCAGGGTTTGGTTCTCCTTGCCGTTCATGTTCATAGAGTGTCCAATGTTCTTGCTGATGGTCTGTCACTCTTACCATCTCCTCGGAGTGGACCGTCAATGCCACCTCCTTCTAGTGGTTTTGAGTGACGTTTGGGTGCCCAGACATGGACCTCTTCACCTCGGTGTAGTCTCATCACCTTCCTGTGTACATGGCGCTGTTTCCCTATTATGAGGCCTTTGCATTACATGTCTTTTGGTTGGACTGGTTGAGGTGAGGGGGGGGGGAGGTTTCTGTACCTCTTCCACCCAGTCTGGCTGTTGTTCTGTGTCATGACGCGATTTGAGTCCTATAGGCGGAGATTGAACTTTCTGGCTTCTTGATGGCTGGCCCAGCCTTGGTTTCAGGCACTGCTTTCTTGATTTCCGAACCTAGGCATTTTTCTGCGTCTCTGCTGCTGTCAGAGAGTTAGCTCAGTGATGTGCTTCACTCGTTCAACCTTCTCATCTGCTCTATGCGTCTGTTATTTTTTATGTATAATTATCGCCATCTCTGGTACTTGAGTGGCGCATTGATGGTGCCCCACCTGTGGTCATCCTCGAGGCGGCAGTTCGGGTATATGGTTTTCTGGCACTTGTTTTACCACTTCCTTTCTTTTGTCACTATTTTTTGGTGTCTTAGCTAGTGTTCTCTCTTGATCTGCATCTTACGTCAAATAATGTTGCCTCGTGTCATGCGGCATTGGAAGAGCTGCTGCAGCTTGCATTTAGGGTCGATTCTGCCTCGGCTCCTTTTTGCAAGCTGTCTCGTTTGTTGTCTCACCTCCAGCCTCCATGCACTACCTCACCTCCCTGCACCGCCTGAGCCTGCTTGATCCTTTCACCATGTTTATTTTCCTTCCTTCTTTCTCCTTCTTTTCTTCTGCTTGGTTTATAAGGTTTATCCCTTCAGTCCAGGATTGTTTCTTGAATGCTTTGTTTTTAGTTTCTCTTGCTTCTTGTTGTCGGATAGGTGAAATTCATGCTCTGTTTCAATGCTGGGGGCTATTGTTCGTTCGGCCTTGATGGGCAGTTTATTCGTCTGCAGCCTTTTCTGAGGAAGAATAAGTCTGTTGGGTTTTGAAGGGGCTTGCTGGTTGTTGATGTGTGGTTAGTTTAGATCGGGTGCATTGTGTGTTGTGCTCGGTGGGAGCTCTTTGCTTCTATCTTCGTGCCACCAGTTCTGCCACGGTGTATTCCTTGTGGGATGATCCTGTCACCTTGGTCTCTTATTCCAAAGCCTGCATTTCTCTGGTTGGCCACATATTTTTTGAAGTTCTTCAGGTGGTTGTCCAGTTATGGTCTCATTCGAAGCCATTGGTGGTTTGTTTTGTGTCATTGACTTTTTGGGTGCCTTTCCCGATGGGTGGTATGAATGAATAACCAAACCAGCACATTCCATTGCTCTTTGCACCTCTGTGAGGAGGCCAGGCTCTAGCTCTGGTCCCCAATATGCTTATAAAATTCTGTGACTGTTGGGACGTAGTAGTATGACACTATCAGAGAGAGCTTCAGGGTTCTACTGGGGCTCGCCCAGAAACTGGAGTTTCATTACATTCAACACTGGTTTTGTTGTCAACTCTCAAATTACTGTGTTCATTTTTAATTGTTATGTTTTCATTACAGTATCACCAACCTGAAATATTGGGGCCATTGTGAACAAATCCTGACACGCACCTTGACTCTTCTGTCAGACCTGTCCATCAGTTATAACAGTGTCCGTAAACTTGTCAAACTTGAGGAGGTGCAATTCATGCTCAATAACCACACGGTGAGTTTCCTTAGCTAGTTACAAACTTTATATTTTAGTGATGTAGTGAAATTAAAAAAAAATTGTAAAAGCTTTGCCAATTTTATCTAAAAATTATTTTGAAATTACTGTACGTATAAAAAAATTGTCTTGTATAAATTTCATACTTTTAAGCTGGAAGATTGCATCGAGAAATTTTGTATTACCGTGTTGAAGTATGAGAAGTGTTGGTTTTAATTTCTTCAGGTTAAAACTCCAAATAATAAATATTTTCTGTTTTGTTGAGGACATATTTCTTATTTAACTAATTGTTGACCAGTGGGTGGTTCCTTGTGCTTGTTCTATTGAAAATAAGATTGCTATCAAACCAGACACAAGTAACATTTTAAATGAACTTTCTCACGGTCTCTCCATTGTGCTCTCCAGGGATGGAGAGCACAATGGAACGCACACATTAATTTGCTACTAATTACAACTATAAAGAGCATGAAACTATTAATCCTTAAAGTGTGGTTATTGTCGTATTGGTTCCCTAGGTAATCCAGAGTCGGTAGCTTCCTGGTGATGCCATCTGGTAGTAGGCAGCTGTTACTAAGGGGGTGAATAATGTAACTACTTGGTGGATTGTGTTCCCCTCTTTGTTTATATTTGCCTTGCTATTGTCTTTTTTTATTCACTCTACCTTTCTGGAGGTTGGTTCCTTGCTGAGGGTGATCAGTAGACCCCCCTGCTCTCTGCTCCTCTTGGAGGGAAGGGGTGGGCTGGTTTTGGCCTTTAGTCTCTGTTCGGCTTTTATTGACTTGGAAGGCCCTGGTGTGATTCGATAGGCATGGAGCTAATCAGACAAGCTAACAACAGGAAGCCACTGAGTCGCCCCTCCAGACACCAGGTAATGATAACTAAAATCAACATATGATTACTACAGAACTCCATCCTCCCCTTCTTTATGTACAGTATATGTATGTTAATTAAAAATTGAACTACAGAACAAATATAATGCAGTATATAAAAATGCTTCAAATGTGGAAGGGAACATAGTGCTATACACAGTAGTTGAAAGCAATAGACTGTGAAGCTTACAAAGCAAGAACAGAGGATATTTGGACAGGCAGCTTTGTAAACCTCATTCTTTAGATATTATTGTATCAACACGTGAAGCAGGCCACAAGGATGAGGGAAGGGGATGTTCCATCAATACTGAATTTAATATTCACCAGGAAAGACGAGATATATGACATCCAGTACCTTATTCCCTTGGGAAAGAGTGCTCATGTCCTGTTGGAAATTAAATCTGCTTTGTAATATAATCTCGAAGAGAATGGGGATGTTTAAAGAGTTGATAAACTTGATTTCAAGAGAGGACACTATGGGAAACTATGGGAAAATCTTTAATGAATTTAATATGAAAGATTTGATGCTAGGCAGGGACCTTTGTAGAACCTGACAGCTTCAGTGAACAGCGCTTCGAATTCATAGTCCTGAGGTTCCGGGTTCGATTCCCGGTGGAGGCAGAAACAAATGGGCAGAGTTTCTTTCACCCTGATGCCCCTGTTCACCTAGCAGTAAATAGGTATCTGGGAGTTAGGCAGCTGCTACGGGCTGCTTCCTGGGGGTGTTGTAACAATAAGGAGGCCTGGTCGAGGACCATGCCGTGGTCCTCGAAATCATCTCAAGATAACCTCAAGAAGATAGGCAAGGAGGTAAATGAGATGTATGCCAAATTTTGTGAAATAGATTATGAAGGCCCACAAAAATTCATACCAAAACAAGGGTGCAAAATCAAAAACAGGATTTATTCAACAGAAATTGTAAGAGGGGCCAGAGAGGAAAAGACAAGAAAATGGGTTCAATATAGGAAGAGGCCTAACCCACAAACATACCAACACTACAAGCAAGCAAGAAACAAATACACAGCAGTGAGGGGGGAGAGGCAGAAAGTAAATTTTAGAAAGGGGTAGCTAACAAATGTAACACAGATCCAGGCTTTTTCTAAAAATTAATTAAAAACTGGCTGTAAGTAAAGGATAAAATCCAGAGATTAAGAATGGGAAACAGGTTTACTGAGAATGAAAAAGAAATGTGTGAAACACTAAATGAACAGTTTCAAAGTGAGTGTGTACAAAATAAGGATTTCAGAGAGCTGGACCCAGTGCCAAATTCAGAGCACACTGTAGAGGTATCTCAAGATGAAGTGGAAAAATTACTTGAGGGGCTAGGAAGAAATAAAGCAGTTGGACCAGATGGCGTTTCACCTTGGGTGCTGCGAGAATGTACAACTGAGCTGAGCATTCCACTCAAATTAATATTTCAGACATCCTCGTACACAGGAATTCTAACAGATATATGGAAAAAGGCAAACATACAGTAGTTCCAATCTGTATAAATGGTAGCCGAGAATACTCTCTAAATTATAGACCCGTATCATTAACAAGCGTGGTAGTCAAAACACTAAAGAAATAGCTAAAACCAAATGGGTTTTACACCTGCAGAGTAATGACATAATAATGGACAGACAGTATGGTTTTCGAACAGGAAGATCCTTTGTAACAAATCTACTTAGTATTTAATATAGAGCCACAAAAATTATGAAATGTGGAATCGAAGAAAATAGACCACACAACTTACAAATTATGTGGAAAGGAATTAAAGAACTCTAATAAAGAACCAGATCCCTGGGTGGTTTTGGATAATAAATTGTCACCAGAGGAACACACAAAGAACATTGTGAGAGGACCGTATGCATCGCTTTCCAACTTCAAACTTGCTTTTAATTACATAGATAGTGAAATACCGGTACTAAAGAAACTGTTCATAAATTTTGTGAGACCAAAATTGGAATATGCAGAAGTTGTATGGTGCCCATATCTCAAGAAGGACATCAGTAAACTGAAAAAGGTGCAAAGGCACGCTACAAAATGGGTTCCGGAACTGAAAAACAAGAGTTACAAGGCGAGGCTAGAGGTGTTAAATGTGCCAAAACTAGAAGTTAGAAGAAAAAGATGTGATGTGATCTCCACTTACAAAATAATAGCAGGACTTAACCAAATTGACAGAGGAATTCCCGAAACCAGCAACTTCAAGAACAAGAGAACACAGATTCAAGCTAAGGAAACAAAGGTGCCAAAAAAAAATGTTAGAAAGTTTTCTTTTGCAAACAGAGTGGTAGACGGTTAAAACAATTTATGTGAGGTGGTGGTGGAGGCCAAGTAGATTCATAGTGTTATATGACAAAGAGTACTGTACTGGGAAGATGGGGCACCATGAGCATAGCTCTCATCCTGTAACTACACTTAGGTAATTCCACATGCTTTGAGGTTGGTGGGGGTGGGGCCCCTGAGCTAGAGATAGGAGGGTGTGGAGGTGTTCACTCGTAAGGCCAATTACAAAATGGCGACCACCAATACAGTGACATGTATTTTCAATAATACAAAAAAATCTTTCAATTTAGAATTATTATGATGTATTCAAATGTAAGAAAAACACGAAAATAAATGAATATTTATCGTTTTATTGTGTGAAGGCGCTCGGGAGGGTCACGTGGTGGCTGTGTCTGGCGTCTGTTAACGCCTCGTTCTCAACTTTGCTGACACTTTCTGTGTTATCCTCCAGTGTTGCACCACTTGTTTCTCTTTATTTACACCTTTGTGTGTGTGTGTGTTGAATAACTTTATGAATCATATAATTCACATAACACTTGATAATGTTTTAATTAATGATAAGTTTACTTAGTATACTCCATTACAACATGCATAAAGTAGTGAAAAGGATATGAACATAATATTCAGTGGTGTTGGGCTCTGGGCGATGACATATGGCCTAATTGGCATTATATGGGCAAGAGTATAGATTGAAACAAAGGTGTAAGCCACCAGTATGCACCCACAGATGATAAACGCATTCACCTAGTAACTAATGAGTAACAGGATTTAGTAGTAACTATGGACAGCCGGACTTTGTTCAGAAGTCGAGCAAAGCTCCATTTCATTGACATAAACCAACTATATCCTTATTTGCATCATACAGGTAAAACCTAGGTAATAATTATATAAATCATCATATAATAACCACATTCATCTAGTAAGTAACTAATGAGTTACTAGATGAATACAGTACTTATTCTTCTGTACTGTAGCATTTATTAGTAACTAATGAGAGCAGGATTTTTCTTAAAGAATCAAGGTAAACTCCATTACATCCACATAGGCCTATTATATTCTTATTTGCATCATGCATGTAAAACCCAGACAATAACGATTTAAATCGTTATGTGACGATAACCGCATTACCCCGTGAATCAATATATGACGATAACCGCTGCCTAGGGCTAAAGACCATAATATCCGAACCTCATCACTGCAGTTTCCTAACATTCCTGAGCATTTTTTCCATCTGTTTAGTTCATTTAAGGTAATCCTTCAAGGTTGATCTTTTCCATTTTCATACCTAACAATTCTTCTGTACTGTAGTCACAGATATTATCTTTAGTTGTAAGGTCTTCCACTACCCCAACATTTTTATCTATGGCTTTTATTTCTGGTGCGGCTCTTTCTGACCTCGGATGTTATTTCCTTTACTTTACAACCAAAAATTATCATGGACTTGTATCAACCATGTTTTGCACCAGCTTCAGGTTTGTTGCCAGTTCCTTTTTAATTTAACTGTCTGATGTCTGCACTTTTCTGGTTACTGCAGTTTCTAGCTTCCTTAACCACTTCTAACATTTCTTTTTTGCTGGCCACTTGTGCACACATTTGTTCCATATTCCTCTGGCACTTTCCTATACCCTGTATAAGCTCCTTAATCTTTTTTAACAAAAGCTCTTTTTCTGGGGAGAGCCCCGTCGGCTCCCCGGAGCTTTACCAGGCTGATATGCTAATGTCAGACTTTGGCATCAGTCATGTGTAAGGAGTTCTAGGGCCTACCGGGGACCACGGCCAGAACCTGGCCCTCTCAGAGAGGCAAGGGGAGCAATGGCCTATAGAAACCCCCGTGTGGTTGAAGCATTCTATGTCTGCCATCGA